GTACTGAGACAGAAAGCTGACACCGATACACTGATTTCCTACAAATTTCATTTTAAACAGAACATTTTGGATAAAAAAAAAAATAATAATAATAATAATAAAAAAGAGACCCTAACATAAGTTATTGTTGATGATAAAAAATATATATGGCCTATCTATGAATTCTATTTTAATGTCTGTTTTTCCCTTTGTCATGATGCTTTCGATGTCTTCTGAATTGCCTTGTTGCTTGAATGTGCTGTAGAAATAACAGTGACTTGGCTTAATCTGTGGCGTTGACATATTTTCAAAAGACTGATTTGGTAGCATGTTGTTAATGGCGTCATCAGACACAAGAGGTGTAGAGAAAAAACAATCATTCGTTTCAGCAATTAAAGAATGCCACATCAGGGATGGCAAAATTCCTAGATAATTTCCTTTTTGCTGATTAGTCCAAACTCTTTACAATTAACAGACAAGTGTGAACAGACAGTTTGTTTTTACATGTTTTGGTCTTTGTTAAACTTGAACCCCCAACCCTCCAGACGAGAGACAACAGACTCTACCAACTGAGCCACAGTCGCCCCTAATGAAGAGATCTAACGATAACCTGAATATTTACGGAGTCAAGTAAATGACTTAACCATTGTCTTTGTGCATCGATTTGTTTCCCGGGATTGGTGTTAAAATAAGTTATTATTACAGCTACAACTGGATTACTCTCTTCATTGAGTGCTTACGGTTGTGTATTGTTCCCGTATTGGGCAAGTTACTTGTACAATCATGTGAGCTAAGCTACCAGCACTAAACTGAGACAACCCCCCCCCCCCCACCATAGATAAATCAATAAAAATGTAGCAAGCAAAGCTACAATAACATATTAAAAAAGCTTGCTGTATTGAAACTTGACAATGATTGATTCTGAGTGAATGCTACTATGATGGTATTTTAATTCAGACTGCTCTGTACTGAAAAAAGGAGCAACATATTCTTGTTCAAAGTAAGGGCCGTAACGTCATTGCCTTATAATATTGCAATCAAAGGTAGGTTAATCATTGACTGAATTATTAATACGGTTTTATGGTTTACTTTTGGCCAGGATAAAATTGCTTTAACAGAACAGACATTTATCTGATAATGCTACTTGTAGTGCCATTACTGAGTAATTCTACCATTTCTCTGTTTCTCTCCTCTTTCTCGCTCACCATTATCTCCTCTCCTTTCTTTATTGCTCTCTTCCTCCCAGCAGCCACAGAGGGCTGCTCCAGCGCAGTGCAAGCTCAAGATAAGACTCCACAAGCTCAAGACGAATCGATTCAGACCTCCCTCAAACAAACACCTTTTCCTGTGATTGTTAACCATTGCAGACATGCACGGCTGACACACCATGAGCAGATCTGTATTTTATGTGAGTTTTTTTTTGGTTTCTTGGAGCTTCTGTAATTATCTCTGGGCAAAAAAAATAAAAATACTGCACATATTTGTGCATTGCTACATGACTGCATCAACAAAGGGGTGTGGCGGTCCTTCTCCCCTCTCAGGAAGCCGTCCAGACTTACAGGATAGGCGATTTGAGGAAGAGAGCTCCTCCTTAATATTTTACAACCCAGCGCTCTCTAACACATCCGCACATAAACGGACGAAAGGACACAACCACAAGAAAGGCTGCAGTCTAGCACTGTCGAGTGTACTTTCCAGGAATGTTCTCCGACTTCACAGACATCGCAAATGGATGTGTAAACAAAGACATAACCATTAGCACAAGAGACTTTAATAATCTAATGATTGGGGAGAGGTTGCAAGCAGCTCCTACCTCGCATAACCAGATTGAACCAGATTAACAGAGAAATACAATTCAACCATGTAAAACAATACAAATCAGCCAGAGCAGTCAGTCAGTCCTCGGTTGACCTTTATGCTTCACAAGAGCCGACTGCTGTTAGCAAACCTGCTGTGGTCTCACCTAATAACAACTTGAGCTACCATGACCTTTGTACACAGTTCATCATAGTTGAAGATAAATCCACACAGTGAGGCACAAATCTTAATTCAACATTATAATAGTAAGTTTATCATTCTGATTCCTATCAGATACAAAAGACAGTATAAATAGATTGTTTTCCACAGAGGAAACTTTTCCTGTTCTGTACATAGAACAATCGTTATAAAGACAATGCTGTGGAGAATGAAGCTAAGAGAACTAGCAACAAATCTAAAACTAAATATTGTGTAAAGAGCTCGGGCTAGTAAGCATGCTAGCACTATGCCATTTTCACATAAGCACACCTAAAAATGATAGTAGTGGTCACGTGCATACAGTCTATGGGTGTGCACTTTTTGCACGCATAGACTGATAGACTGATCGCAGGGAATAAACGTCACCACCCCTCCCATTTGCTCGGTGTGATTTCTCCTGATTATCTCCTGCTGTGTTCTCACATCAGCTCACCCGGACTTTCTGCTGTAAATACTAGGGGGCTGGCAGGAGACACTCCGGGTAAAGGTAAAGAGTGTAAATTGGTGCTGTTTGCATTCACACTTGCAGCTCCTCCTGCAAACACTCAAGATTTCAGTAGTTTGTGCAAGAGTAACAGTCCTATAAGAGGGTTAAACTCAAGTACCATTTTGCCTGCGAGCCTCACAGATCTGCGATGATTGCTGTTAACTCTTAGCCTTGGTTCCAACCCTTACCCTAAGGCTGTTATAGGTTGTGGGCCAGTCTAATAGTTGGATTATTAATTGAAAGAGTATCCAATTTGTAGAGTCATACATGCTTCCAAGAAATAGGAAATTCAATGACTAATGCTCCCCTCCTATGAAAAAAGCACAGTTTTATACAAAGCAGCAGATAAGATTGCCATCAAGAAGAAATAAGAATGTTAAACACTGGGATTTGTATTTAAACTACTGAAACGATTACAACACTTCCCCATCTCACCATGCCTGCATCTCTGTTTCCCTGCCATCCTAACCTGACCAGAGTCTTCTCCTTTAGTGGTGGTGGAGCTGCGGTGCAGTGCTGTTGACAGTGGATGGTTGCATATGGTGCAATAGAGCTGTGAAAAACAAAGCCACGACAGAGAAAACAGGTAACAGCATGTCCAGAGGACTGCGAGCTGATGGGAGAGAGGCAGGGGGCGGGAACGCGGGATGGGGCCCTACCTCCCGTGATCATAGAACTTAGAACCCTAGCCACCATGGTGGGTAGTCGTGGTCGGTGGTGGTGTGGGATTTAAAGGGACACACAGAACATGCTGGAAACTCTGTACCTTTCAATGTGCCTTCAGAAAGGGCCCAACTCACCCCCGGAACCAATAAATCTAGAGGAACGAGACCAGGTTAGTCAGAGAGAAGCAGAAGACAGCAAGGAAGGAAAGATGGCTGCTAGTTTGAAACATGAGAGAGTCAAAGAAAGAGAAAGAGGGATGGAGTAAGGCCAGAAGGAAGCGATGAAAGATTAAGCTGGTTTATGTTCCTACGTTTTGTCTTTCCAGTGATTCTGAGTCCAGTTCTTTGGATGTACACGCTTTTTTGTCTTGAATCAGTCGGGAAGCCATCGAATCTCAAATCGAAGTTCTCAAAGCGAAACATTTGAAAGCTTCAGGGACTATTAACACCAGTGAGCTCGGAGCTGTCCACTCGCTCTAAATTACCTTGCCGTTTTATCTTGCTGTTTTGTTGTCAATTAAAGCCATCTTCTCACCCTAAACAGCACTGAGTTGAAATAGGAAAAAAATCCTAGCAAAAAGAACAAAGCCAGAAATAAAGAAGACAAACTTTCAAGCAAAAATTCCCAAAAAGGGTTAACTTGATAATATGGAAGGTTTGTGTGTGCTTTAAGGAAGAAAAGAAGGGTCTCTTGAGATAGAAAGTGTACATGTGTTAAATGTGCACTGGTCAGGAAGAGTTGCTTGATTTTTCATACACCCTGGAAGATGCCCCCTGGAAAAAGGAAAATCAGTTTCCATCTGTATTTCTCAAGACTTGGACGGAAACATTCAGATTTCTAAGATTAAATCATCATCTCATATAGACGGCCACAAGGAGATTTATTACAGCTTTAAGAAATCAATCGTGTCCACTGCTCCTTGTATACATTACAAAAAGATCATTTGGATAAAGTGGGTAAAAAAGCAAAAGTATGTATACCCACTAGATTTTCAAAAGTCTAATGCTAGCAGGTGCTAGCGCTTGTTTTTGCATAAGGAGGCAGTGGAAAGAAAAACCCAAACCAAGCAGTTTGTCACCAATTCCTATACAGCCGAAGGGGAGGGGCAACAGGCAGATAATAAACTGACTCCTTTTAATCTACACAAGTAGTGTGAAATCTAAGCTACAGGAAAACTAAGGGTAAACTATTTATTTTCTCCTAGCTTTTAATCTATCCCTGCCCCTGCGGCTGTACTAAACCACATGCAGAAGAGGGGAAGGGAGGGGGGTCGTTTTTCTTTTTTTTTCTTTTTTTTTTTTTCTCCGTTTCTGGCGATTTAGAGATCAACAACTCCCCCTCCCTCTAGCTCTGTATATCCACCACCATGCAAGCCCCGTCTCTCGGCACTCACTGGTCATGCTCAAAGGGGCCATCCCAAGCACGGCGTCTGTGGTAGACCAGGCAAGGTAGGGGAAGGAAAAGAAAGGAGCTAACACCAGCAGTCAGCTGTCCTCGCTCTGCAAACCAGCTGATCATGGAAGCCTTTCTTATCACCCAACTTGATCAATATGATGCAGGGGTTGAAGAAGGGCTTCCACAGTCTGTAGCAAGGTCTGTAGAGTCAGAACGGGTGACCACCGGACTGCAACAAAAACTAGCCGGAGGGCCTACAGGGAAAGGATTGTCGACGGAAAGGAAGGGTTCTACCGCAGAGTAGCAACTGTAGTTTGTACTAGCTCACTAATTGGGTTTCTGTGGATTCGGCCAAACCAAATCAAAAAAGCAAAAACAAAAAAAGGCTCAGGCTCAAATCAAGCAGGACTCAGAAAGATGTGGAAAGACTACCGACCAGCCAGCTCCTTCTCCTTACTCCTTCTCTTTTTCTCCATGCGTTTCAGTCTCTTCTCCTCCCTGCGCTTGGCTTCCTCGGCCTCCTGGTGGCGCCGGCACTTGTGGAAGTTCTCCACCACAACACCGACGAACATGTTGAGTACGAAGAAAGCCACAATCAGCAGGAAGGAGATGAAGTAGAGCAGCATCCACGGGTTGTAGTTCATTATCGGCTGAAATAAACACAGAGCACAGAGGTTTTGTAGTTTTGGCAGTAATTATAGAAGCCTTTCACTGTTTTTTGCCTTTATCATTAATGTAAATCTTAGTATTAATATCCTGTCATGAGCTTAAATCAAATCAAGTTTGTACATATTTACCTGCTGGTCAACTCCTACAGCATCTAGACCGTCATACATGATATCCACCCAGCCATCTTTCGATGCCAAAACAAACAGAGACATCAAGGCCTGAGACAGGAAAGAAGGGAGAACAGAATTAAATATTGACATTAAAGCCAGGTGAGCACTTGAATTTCAGCCTGTCTAGGCCAAATTGCTTCGTCAGCCTTTTGCATGCATGCAGTGAAAACTGAGGCACAAAGTTTGATCGAGGCCCAATCAGCTGCTAACGACCGGTCAGGTGATTTTCTGGCACGTTTGATATTTTTGTCGTAGGACTGCACACACGCGCAAAATGAGAACAGAGCCACAAGCCGATTCCCCCTAATTCGGAACATATCTGTGCTTGCACAACTATTTATGTATATCGGCCTATCTGTGTCCCACTAACAGAATGTAAACCAGAATTTCCCTCAGAGATTAAATTAGTATGTAAAAAAAAAGAAAGAATTTGTGGCAGACAGTGTCCAAAATCACCATGGCATCAGCAGGAATGCTTGTTAAATCTGTCTACCCCTTCCGATCATGAAAGAAATGTTGGCAGGATATATCTGCTCACCTTCCGCTCACAGGGCGTATTTGTCATGATTTTTGCCAGTCACGATGCTGCTTGTTGCTAGTGTTTATGTATGTTACAGATTGTGTGTGTGTGTATGTGAGAGGGAGGGCCGGTGTTTGTATTTAGCAACTGAAATACACATAGATCTTCAACTGCACTCATTAGCAGATTTTCAATTGACAATTGTGAATACTTTGTCCAGGGCTTAAAAGGCATTCCATAAAATACTTTATCATCTGAACTTAGTATTTTTGAAGCATCACCTGTCCGAGGTTGTCAAAGTTGTACTTGTGTCTGACCCATCTGTGGCTGTTGAGTAAGCAGTCTGACTTGTTGGTTATGTTCCTACATCTTCCCCTTGACAAACAAAGAACTTCCCCTTGAAGAGCTGCAGAGAAAACAGACACACAAATGTTTCAAGGTTAGTATTATAGTATAGTATGGTACATAGCATAGTATGGTGTTGGCCATATTGGCACACCTCATCCTTGTCTACGTAAATAAACATAACTATATTTGCGACTGGCATTGATGCAATATCATAAAATGAGCTGCTGGCAAGGTCTACCTGTCTGTCATTTCATGTTGTGATCAACTGAACACAGCAGCATATTTCTACAGGTATACATACATCTCACCATTTTCAAAAATATATATTTTTTAACTTTGTACCGAGGTTTCACAGTTGGGCAACTCATGTTTGTATAGTTTAAAGTATTTATTGAAGCAGAACATAGTTTGTGTTTGGAGTCTAGACTCCGACCTCATCACTCCTCACAATTTACATGCAGACATTTGAGGAGTGATGGGATGATATCTTAACCCCCCCCCCCCCGACCAAGAGTGAAGTACTGGTGCAGGTCAGAGCTGACAATGACAGCTAATTGGAAGGAGATGTTGTCAGATGATTGTTGAGAATGATGCCAAGTTTGAAATCAGTACAGCTCGAGTTGACTGCCTGAACAAGCTTGCAGGTGTCGCCTCATTCCTTTATACCAAGAGCCATTCTTTCATTGATAGTGGTACCACATTGAGGTACCACTGCTGCTCATACAGGGAACAGTCGCCTCCAATGATGGAAAATATAGCACAAAAACTTCCTGAAGCATTTTGTTTTTTGCCTTCATGTTGACTAAGTCAGAAGAGTTTTGTTTCTTAACGCAATTTTTATACTAAGCTGACCAGTTTCTGGCTTTAGCATTATATACTTACTTTACAGGCCTGATAAATGTATCAAGCTTCTCATATAATTGTCTGCTAAAAGCATAGCTGTATATATCCCCAAATTAAGTACAATGATTAGAAATGCAGCAATTGCATTTTCTTTGGCCGATTCCAATTTCTGATTTTGACCTGGTTTGACCTGCCGATACCCATTTTTTGCCGATGCCAATTTTCTGTCTTTAAAGCTTTATGATTAACAGCAAAACAAATGATTAGAGATGAATTGAATGTTCATAATAAAGTACTCACTAAGTTAAGTGGCTGTTTGTTAGAATAAATCTTCAAAGCTGCACCAGTGAGTGTCAACCCTTGATTACCTGTATTCTCCTTTATTTGTATGCAATTATTTACGGTGGACGTGTTTTTATGCACCGTATGTAAAGTAAAAACAAAAAAAGGTATTCAATTATTTTCTTAAATGATACATGGATTGCTTTCTCTGAATTTTCACATTGTAGAAAGATTGAAACAGACATTCAGCCCGAGGACTTAAATCGATCTCATTTATAAATCAAATTATAGAAACAGTGAAGTTTACTGCTTTACTCTCAAGTCTCCCTGACTCCTGAAGAAATGATCCCTTGCAGACTGCCTCGGTGAAAGATATTGGCTGATGCAAAGATTTTCAATCCTGTTTACTGTATATGACACTATTACAGGGGTGACCACAATTTGTCGAATCTTGAGGACAGCCTGCTCAGCCCTGACCTCACCAGTCATTTCAAATGATAGATCACAGTAAAACAATAATGGAGTGAATTTATATTTCCCCCAAAACAAGGCCAGATAAGCATCCCAATAAGCTGTGTTTGTATCAAAGGTTCAGGTTTTAAAGGCACTTGCTGGTAAAAGTAGTGCCATGAAACTAAAGAAAAAATATGCATGAATCCTGTGGAATTCTCTTTAAGAGCTACAGATCCTCTTTCTAGTCCATCATGGTATCAGCACCGCCATTAACCCTTCATGACACCATTTTACTCAGACAGATGGTTTGAGGACATAAACATGGCATGGCAGGGAGACTGAGATGTGCCACGCCCACAGAGCTGGTGGGAATAGATTGGTCCTTGGGCTGATAGCCATGAAATCTCTTTTCCCGACCATAAAAGAATTTAAAGCGTCCTAGTGCATGAGTTATAGTGCATGATTTGTTCTTAGATGTCCTTGTGTATGCTTTACATAAACAAGTGAGGAGAAGGTGAAACTGTATGTCTGGTTATCTTCGCTTGGCACTTAACACCTTTTAGTTTTCTCATTATTTCAGCTTTCCCCTTCTCTGCCCTCACCTGTACTCCCAGGATGCCAAAGATAATGAAGAAGGCGCAGCAGATGACCACAATGTTACCGATGGGCTTCAGTGATGACATCAGGGTCTCGACCACCAGCTTCAGGCCTGGGGCTCTGCTAATCACACTGGAAGACAACATACAATAGGATATTAGTGTACTGCCTGTATGTGTGTGTTTGAGTGTGTGGTGTTTGTGCAGATGACCCTCAGGGCACTTACAGCACAGCTCACACCAGATGGAGCAGTAATGCCTGCAGCACTTCAACCTGCAACCACAACACACCCTCAGGCCCTAACACGCTCAAACACACACACACACACACACACACACACACACACACACACACACACACACACACACACTTGCTTTTTTCCTGATTACTCCAGATTGACCACAGTCAGAAAGATTTATTCTCACTCACACTTTTCAGAGCTTTTCAAATTAAAACTCATCTTGGCTTATAGACAAATGAAATCCTCTTTCATTCACCTTAGCCCTTTTCTACTTTATTTCATATCGTCAGTCAAGTAAACAGACACACATCTAATTAAGCCAACAAGGTGTGGCGACTCGTCATTAGCACCAGCATGGCTCCCAGCACTGCACTGCAGCTGAGCTCCTTCGGCAGGGTAGGACAGAAACACATATGAAGCTCATGAAAGCTGCCAACGCACGCATACACACACTCACTGCATGCACAATTTACAAAGAGGGCCGACGTACATGCACGTGCACACAAATGCAACACACACACACACACACACACACACACACACACACACACACACACACACACCAAAGTCATGTATAATCTTTTGTATCCATGACACAAAAAGGCTTAAAACAGCCAAACAGGCATGGAGACAGTCGAGGCGCTAATCTGCTCTGCTTATGTCGATTAGTCTTTGTCTACATTGTATGTTTTCTGCTGAAGAGACAGCTGAGGGACAGAAAAGTCAATATCACATTAGGAGGAGACATGAGATAATAAAAGGCCAGGACTGACGGAGGCCACTGATCAATAGCCCTGATCAGAGAAAAACGAGTGTATGGCTACACCTCATTACTCCGCAGCTGACTGCCTCTCTTGACAATCTTGCTGGGGAAAAATCATGTTGGGATGCAGTACCACTGCCAAGCTAGAGAGGGCACTGTTGTTCAAGGGCTTAGTCTGCGTGTGTATTCTTTCAAGATCAATGCAGGTATGCTGGCAAGAGAATACGTTTTCATTAAGTTGTTCAGCACAGGTAGGGATCTAAGCCCAGTTGAGTTGATTTTAGTCTTAAGAAGACTTAACTCTTCAATTGAAGGGCTTATGGCACAACTTTTTAACTTGAAGAGAAATAATAAATGCATGAAGAGTGTTGTCCTTTTCCCCCCGCTCAATATTAAACCTATTATGATGCTGATTCCATTTTCAATTAGTATTTCATTGGAATGTCTATAGTCCCTGATCTACTCAGAAAATAAAAAGTTACTGCAAAAGAGAATATTCAAATCCCCCCTCCCAAAGAAAACCTAGACTTATTGTGGACATTTGATCCACTCCGCTCTTACAAATATTCTGAAGTGAAAAGGCTTATTAAGGCGGAGAGGGGGTAGAAGGGCCTCTTTTTATGAGTCAATAGATTCTGATAATGTGGTATATGAAGGACACACGCTGCAAAGGGCTTCTCTCCGTTAATGTCTATTTGCATTTGACAGGAACAAAAGATGCGAAGAAGCTGAATGAAGCTGAGCCGGGGAGAGAAATGTTAGTGCAGGCTTCTTCTGAACTGCCTCTCTACATAAGTTCACAACCGATTACAGCATGCCCTTGTTTTTGTGTGCTACACAAAGGAGAAGAGGTATTCTGCTGCGATACACAACACCATACCATGCACCACCCATCTCTCTCATCCACCAGCATATTCTTCATACTTGGGAAAGAGAACAACAAGTCGGACAGGCGCCTGTGAGCACACTGAGAGTAATTAAGAGACGCAGGGAGAAGAGAAATAGGTGAGTGAGGGGGAAGATAAACATGCAAGGATACAAAGAGAATTAAAAAAAATAAGTGAAGCAGCTACTTTCTTTATTTTGTTGTTTTAACTTGTATGTGTTTTTTTTTCTTTCCCTCCTGCTATCCTCTTTTTCAAGCTACAGCTGCCTTCGTCTTCAGCTGTCAAACTTACTGTGAATGTACCTGGAGCTAAATGTGTGAACTGTAAGCAACACAAACATAATCCAAATGCTTTGAAAAATGGTAATTATGGGCTAATTTAATTGGCAGCTATCAGGACTGTCACAAACAAGGCATGGGGGAAATAAAAATGAAAACACAAGTGTTAAGGCACAGAAACAACCCAATGGAAGCCTGGGGATAATTACATCATCATCAAGTGACGGACGAGCTCAAAGGCAGAGCTGACAGGGACAACCGCATGGGGGATTTATTAGTAAACAAAGCAGTTGGCCAGCATGACCTCACAAACACCACAAAGCTGTTTAAATCAGTCTACCTCCAGTGAAGTCAGGGAGTGTGGCAGGTACAATTAATCGACACACTTTGGTTGAGGCAGTTTTTTTTTTTAGGTCGCAAGCTGAATTGTTGATGAGGTGTAGGTGGTATTGAGTGACATAACAGTGCCACATGGTGAAACAGGGTTCAAACCTCTGGGCCATCCCTGAGGCCAAACCTCAGGTCAGGTAGAAGGGGCTTGATAAATGACTGCGGGGGGGGTGTGTGTGTGTGTGTGTGTGTGTGTGTGTGTGTCCAGTTAAACAAAGCTGATGCATCACTGTGTCTCACACACAGACAGACAGACAAACAAACACGTACTCGTGCACCCCTGTTGACCATCGTCTCTTGTGCATCCTAATCCCATCATTTAGATCTCTAATGAGAGCGAACACAAACAGACACTTGCCTACAAACACAGTCGGACTACAAAGTCACCTGCCTGCTGCAATAACATTCAGACAGACACGCAGCAAGAAGCGTAAGAACATGATGATGGTGCTCCCTGTGTGAACCTCGTGTGTGCTGCGCTGCCAGAGGGGAAAACTGAGACGAGCTGATATAATAATAACAAGCTGATATTGAAACTAACACAGATGCTTTATGGGTTACAAAGCTGTGCCAGCCGTATGGTATGTTGGATAAGAAAGTATTGCTTTCATAACGTTTTTTATTTGAAAATCAGCTTCTTTTTTTTTTTTTTTAACAACACACCATACGGTCGAAAAGAGATACAGTATACGACGTTTCTGTAACTTTGTTTGTTTGTTTGTTAACTTTGTTGGTCTTCTAACAACTTTTTTTTTTTCTCCAAGATTAGATGAAACTAATAAACCAATGACTGAAACTTAAATGATTTATGGGGGAACTTGTATAGAAGTACAGTCATTCTTAATTGATTCTTAAAGATCATTATTTAACTTGGTCGTTGATTTTCGAATAAATCTAATATTCAATGATTTATTTGAAAAACACAAGTTTGCTGTTTGCCAGCTGTCAATAAACAACAAAAGAAGAAGAACGCAGGAGTGTGGTTACACAACTGTAGCGTCAAACACAAGATAGAATGAAAAAAGGATTTAAAATCTAAAGCTCTTAATGGCCAGGCACCATCTTACCTTAAAGAGCTAATAGTGCATTGTTACCCTTCGAGAAAATTGCGCTCCCAGAATGCAGGTCTGATCGTGGCACCTACAGTCTCTAAATGTACTATGGGAGGTGGAGCCCCTTGTCAACAGGCAAGGCAGGCAACTGCTCGGGGTCCCAGACCACAAGGGGGACTCTAGAATCACCGCTGCCTCTCCTATCAGTCAGGGTCCAGGAGGCAGACACACTCTGTACCTTTAAGAATAGACTTTCCTTTTTGATAAATCTTACAGTTAGGGCTGGGGCAGGTATGCAGCTCCTAGTGATGTTACTATAGGCTTAGACTGCCGGGGGCACCTTGAGCTCCTATCTCTCTCTCCCCCCCTCCCTCCACCCCCCTCTCTCTCTCTGGGCGTTCACATCATATCACTGTATGTCACTATCTGTAAATCTTCATGTGCCATGTAAGTTACTAACCACAGTTTTTCCTAGCATCTCCTGAGCTCTCGTCTAGTACCCCCCCCCCCCCCTTGGTAACTGGTGCTTGGTTTATTTACTGGGTGAATTTAACAGTGGTTCCCTGTGTGGTTTTCATCAGTCAATCCTACAGTCTGCTGTCTAAACATCTTGTCAAGTATTTGAAACTTACGAATTCACTGTATTTGAGATAACAGTTGAAGTTGTTAATTATTTTGCACAAGATCTTATAGTCCCACCTCCCCAACTCGATGAACTTTGCAATTTCACAAAGTGGTTTTCTTCACGACCATAACAAAAGCATGGCGTTATTAGATCTTGATTCTCTCTAGCAGAGCAGTGTTACTACAGTAAGTATGTGAGAACATAAACAGCAGCACATGAATAGCTACAGCCTTTAACTACCTTTAAAAATGATTTTACACTATTACTTTCCTGTAACTCGTCTGCACCCTCAGGAAAGGAGAGAGCCAATCTACAGAGCTGCCCATCACTCTTTTTTTCCTTTTATTTTTCCATCCTCTCCATTTTCTCCCTCACTCACTCTCATCATAAAGTCTTCCTAATCCCATTTGTCAATCTGCCATTTTGCATTTCTCACAAAGTAAAGACCTCCCTACACAGAGAAATTGCCCTTTGCTCAAGATAATTCTTTCACAAAACTTGAAATTTGTCCAATTTTCTGCTGTCATTGCTACATATACTCTAATCTGACTTAAAATTGTTCCTTCTCAACGTTAATTCCGTTTCAGACACGCCTCTCTCTCTGGGCAATAAGAAGTGAGCAAACAGCTGAATGATTCGCCAGCATTTAGACTCAGATACTCTTTTCAAGTGCTCAGGCTGTAGATGTTGCACAACATGTTATAAGACAACAGCTGCATGACAGCAAAGTGCTCTTTGTCAAATACATTTCATTTTGCAAACCATCAGAATACCTTTTTATTTTTCAAAAGGCACGGAAGTTGTGCAGAGTTTTTTGGACGAACTTGAAGTACCTAGTGGTGTTTCTTTAGTATTTTAAAAGACCCCTCTCCAAAAGCATCATAAATAGTCTTTACTACCCAACATGACTTGTTTGATGGAAGTGCAGTGAGGAGGGATTTACCTCACTTCATGTTCTAAGTCATGATTTTTCTTAAAGAAAAAAGAAAACTTGAAAAAAAAAAAAGAGAAAAATAATGAATTGAACTCAGGGCTCGAATTAAATCGTTGCCTCATAGTGGGTTCAAGCTAAAAGTAGTCCTGTAATGCCCACACGAGGTGCAATATTTACACCCCTGTGATGTCTAGATTCAATATGAATGTCACAAAAGCATAATGGGGGGACCGGGGGATTCCACCTCTGTATCACCACTGTGATAACAACAGAGCCGTTACAGATGGGAGTGGCAGAGCCAGCAGGACAGAACAGCGCTGAGAGTTTGTGGATGTCTGAGTGAGTGTGTGTGTGTGTGTGTGTGTGTGTGTGTGTGTGTACTGTATACAGCTCCTGCTGTTTCTCTACACGTCGTGCTTCCGCAACACCATAATGCAATGTGAACGCACAGACTGGGACACCAGTATTAGGCCATTGTTGGATCAATATGAAAAGAACAAAAACACGCAACGATGCGTAATCGCTATATGAAAACAGCCATACTCTGTGTTCACGAGATGTTATAACTGCAGTCGTTTTCACATATGCACTCCTGATGAACATCTAGATAATTTCAGGAGATTCTCTTGACCTCGTTGTTCACATATGCTCCTCACAGCTGGAGACTATCCCTGTCAGAGGGGAGGGGGGACAGGGATAGTCTCCTGAGGTAAGAGGTGACGTGAAAAAAAAAAGACGCGGAAGTGGTGGACGAGTCAACTATACGACGCTATAATTAGAATATTTGCCTTTATATCAACGCTACATGTAGTCCATCGGAATGACATCATCAACAAAAGAGCGGAGAGCAACATACTGACAAACAGAGAACGTGTGTGGAGATTGAAGCAGCTGCATGCAGTCTATGCAGCAGTCACAATATATATTTGTCCCTCCCCTCTCCCATTGGCTAGAGGTAAAATCTCCGGAGAATATCCTGCTGCTTTCTCACATCAGCTCACTCGGACTCACTGCGGTAAAAATAGTAAGCGGCTGGCAGGAGAAACTCCAGAGGAAGTCTGAGCGAAAAATGTGGCCGTTTGCGTTCACACATACAACTCCTCAGGCAGATATCAAGATTTTTCTGCAAGTGTGAAAGCCCTATAGGAGGCTTACGGGAATGCCAATGCTCCGGCACCTGCACTGCAACAGCAGGGAATGAGCTCGGTGGAGTGAATATGGCAGGTGCAGCAGACACACTCTAGAGCGCTACATTAGAAGCTTTTAGAAAGCGAGCTTCAGTAGTACCTCGACCTATACACTTGACACCTGGCATGAACATTTCCCCCTCACCTGCTTCTTTTTATCCTGTGTTAGTCTCTCCCACCGTGCGAGAGGCACAAGGAAACATACAAGAGACACGTCCTTCCCTCTGGTGTGAAGTGAGGGTTACGAGAAATGATTGAGGCAGCTGATCACAGCTGGATAAGCTGTCAGCTTCAACAGCTGCAGACATTTTGGATGGGGCAAACAAATAGAACAGTCCTTTAAAATATGTTACTTTCTAAAAATCTTTTTATAATTCCAAAATGTTTTAAAGCTGTTTGTAAACACTTTGTAACTTTGTTAAATAAAGTGCAACGTAAATAATATAATGAAAAACATTCTACACTATCCCCACTTGTAAGACTGTAACAGTCACTTGCAATCACTATTGATTTTTCTTCAGTTAAGTTCCAATGGCATAGGTCAAAGTGTCACAAAGAATATAAGAGCACAACCTTTGCAACCTTTGACTGAGGGTTCATCTGTTGTTCGACAGAATGATTAATGTTCATACCAGACTGCAAATGCTGCAAAAAGAAATCCTGTTCAGAACATACAGCTCACACAAAAACAACAGTATTCACTCAGAGACAAAAGTAGTCATTGGTTTGACACCAAGCGTTACTGCTGTGCTCATAAAGTCGGTATGGCAATGTACCGTCAAGTGCTCCTTGCAAATACATGTATCGATGCAGGTGTTACAGAATCAATATGACTGAAAAGCTGTGATGAGAGTTTTGAAAGACAATGGACCTAATGGTGCAGCTCACAATGACATCAGTGTGTGTCTGCTGTTATTCCCAACAATAAAGAACAGCTGTTGTAGTGAACTCTGTGTAGGACAGGGTCATTATCCAAAATCAATGTACGTCACAATACTGTATGTATCGTATCTTGGCCTCTGAATCGTCATACATATCGGCAAACCCAATCTGAGGCTAAACCTAAAGGAACTGAAGCAGTGCACACACAACACTTGCTCCTTTCTTTATCTCTTTATCTCTCTCTCTCTCTCGCATTATCTCTATCTCTCTTGCTCTCAACACACAAACACACTAATTGGGGATGCAAATACAAATACACTCTCCAAATTGCTTTCTTCTGCCTTAATTCTTCATAAATAAACATAATTGAGCAATTTTATACACACTGAGAATAACACGCATGAATCAACAATAAAAATTAATTCCTACAAACACTCGCAAACACACACACACCCAAACTTCTCAAAAGCTAAACATGGAGCATGTCAGGGCTGAAAAAAGCTTACTTTGGTTTCAAAAAGTTTAGCAATGGTCTAGAAAATGACGACAATTTAAATATTAATATTTCTACTTAGTTGCTAATTGGGTCATTTCCTTTAAATCATGCCCACAAAGTATGTTGAGTCATTTATTTGTAATAGATTGCGGATGGAAGGTGTACGACGTGGTTGATGGTTCCTCCTCACAGTTTAAAGGGGAAGGTGTCTGATATCTCAGTGTGCTTGGTTTTCCATGAACAGTATTTCAGGATCCTTGTAACAGGCATTTACCGTAGCGGCCTCAGGGTCCTTAGGAGCCTCAGCACTCTGAGCATGCCCAGGATCTTTGTACCAGAATTGGAGATGAGCGACACCAGGATGTCAATAACGGAAATCATCACCAACATCCCATCCAGAATGTTCCAGCTGCTCCTCAGGTAGGACTTGTCCCCGAAACACCAGCCCAAAGCTATAATCTGGACACATAGAAGACACAAAGGAGAAAGAATACTAGTTAGTGTATGATAATTAATCTGAAAGCACAAAGGGCAAACTGGACCAACTTTGTTTTCAATTCACCTAAAATAAATATTTAGAAGCAAGAGGAATGAATCAGATATTATGTATTGTTTTTGTTTGTGCATTTGCAGATCTGTTTGTTATTCATTAGGAATTGATGCTTAACATCCTTTGTGCACAGCCTATTGACTTTTCAGAGCCATTGTTTACTTGAAGCTTGGAATTCAAATGCTGCAAGTGCTCCCAAACCTCATATCGAACACTACAGCCTCCCATTGAATTCTGCCCAGAAAACAATTTGCAATCCTAAAAATGATAGAAAGTAGCTCAGACTTTTTTTCAATCAGGCCACACTCCATGAATATACAAACATCAACTTTAACTGCAGAGATGAAAGAGCAATAGAGAGTGAGATGGATAGATTATGTACATTAGTGGATGCTAATCAACACATAAGGGGTGAAACTGTATATGAATAATGTGGCAGGGGAACGATCAAAGGGGCTGATCAAACTTTAAGAAAAACAGCCAGACAGCCTCCTCGGACTCATCTCACTCTCTGCCTTTGAATTAAACAGGAATAAATTACATTTTATTGTTGGGCCTATAATTTATAACACCGAGGCGTGTGATTGGCAGAGAACAAACAAGCAAAGAAATCTACAGAGCGCACAGCAGAGTGCGGCACTTGGCATACGTTTGGCTGCGCATATTCGTAACCTACAGTGTGTGTTAAATTCCTGCATACAAGGCTGCAGTTGTAGTAGGGCTGAGCAAGAGCTGCTTAATAGTAGGGATGATGCTTATCATGATAAGATACATATTGTGAAACTTTGCATTACTCTAGGCAAATGTAAAAGAGGAGCTGTGAATTCAACTTACTGTGTAAAAGACCATATTCCCACGATGCCCATGATGCTGTGACGGCATGCATTAATGTCGTCATGTTATGTTACAGGTTTTAAGTCGTGTAAATGTTGCAAATCTGGGTTACTGCTTTCATTTCAAAACTTCCTGATTGATAAAAACTACACAGACAATGGATACAGAAAATCTGGAGAGACATCGGGCCATTTTCTGATTTAAAGAACACATTTAATAAATCATTATTACCCTTGGAACACAGCTAACATCATTCAGCAACTTCCTTCATTTTTACTTTTGAGAATCACGGAAACTATTGGAAAGGCTTCTATTGCTCCTACATCAGTGGTTCTCAGCTGGTCTCAAAGGTAAATGGTAAATGGACTTGAGCTTGTATAGTGTTTTTCTATTCTTCTCGCTACACAAAGTGCTTTACACCGCAGGTCACACCTACCCATTCGCACACTGGTGGCAGTGGCGCCATGTAAAGTGTCCATCAGAAGAAATTAATCCAATTCAGACACACATCATACTCTGACGAAGCAGCAGGAGCTAATTGGGTTAGAATTCTTGAGGTGAAATGTATTCGGGTTAAGTGTCTGGCCCAAGGACACATCGTGGCATCAATGTGGCTACTGTGAAACGACCAACTCTACCAGCTGAGCCAACAGCCACCTCAGGACACACCACCAAATCATTCATGAGAAATTGCAACTAAATTTTATATGAGATGAGATTTTTTACATGAAAAAAAGGACGGTTTGGACCTCAGATGGTACAAAGCATGACAGAACAAAGACCCACCTGATCCGTCCTGACCCACCAGTTGAGAACCACTTTCCTAGATAATTTTTTATCTTAAACACATTTATAAAAGTTGAGATAAAACAGACTGGATTTATCAGAAGATTACAACGTAAACTTAACTGTGTAGTTCGCCCTTCAAGCTCCTTTTTTTTATTATTATTACTCTTTCTTAAAGTACTAAAAATTCAGTCTAAATATGTCTTATTAGCTAAATGTATTCACAGTATCAAATGCAAAAAATACACCACTTATATTATCATTAAATGTTTTGCACTTCTGGTTCAGGCATGTAAGAATTATATAACTCTTAATGAATACAAATGATGAATATATTAATTAAACTATACAGAATGATAGTTAGTGCAGGGTCAAGAACAATGATTGAGTTTGTCAGATCAAAGATAAAGATTAAACAAAACTTAATCAGTAGTGGCCACAAACTCCAACTAGTATAGACATTACAAGGACAAGATGTACGTGGAAATTAAAAGATGGAAATAAAGAGGTAAACGTCAGTGACATTAATATGGATTATGGTAGAATAATATATATATATACATATATATATATCAGTTTTGATGGCTGGACTTGCTCTACAGTGTCTTCTGTCTTTGCAGTATTGAAATGGTAATGAGGTTCTGTCTTAATTGTCATGAATTCTCACGTTTCACATGTTTTGTAATAACCAAGCATCACTTGTTTTATTTGCACTTCAGTTAAAGTGATGAAATACTAAATGAAATGATAAAAACCAGTGCTTTTCGTAAAGGTACTGAAGGAGTGTGTCTCTGCGTGTGCAGGTCCTTCGCTCCTGAGCCCACGCATCACACTCGGACCAAAAATAGAGACAAAGGCTTTTCGATGAGTGACACCCATGAACTTTTCTCCCCTCTGCCTCTGCGTGCTCCTGTTCATGCCTGGGTACACCTTCATTGAAAGCTGGTCCATTTGAATACGGTCGAGACAATCTTCCAGGCTCTAATGAAACAGCCCTGTGAGTGTGTGTTCCATGTGGTGTGTGTTAGCTCTTTGAGTCTCAATCTCTGCTTCCCAATCCTCTGACTTTCTTTTGTCTTTACTCAGTTTATTCTGTATTTGTATGATAACACAACATTGAGTCTTTAAGCACACTGTATAGTCTCTGCAGAGACTGGGTTTCAATGCAAAATGTCTTCATTGTACGTGTACAAAGATGAGTCATCTGTTTCCAAAGACAGCAACATACCCCCTTTTTATATGAAAATGATACAAACTGAAAATAATTACAGGTAGACTGCATGACTTAAAAGGTCAATAACTTTTTCACCAGTCTGTCCCTCTCACAGAACTATTTTAAAAACTGTGTCATTGGATTCACAGCGTCTTACCTTAATAGTCATCTCGGCCACAAAGATTGCGGTGAAAATGTAGTTGGACAATGTGAGGAAGATCCGCTCCTGTAGGAGAGAAGGGGAATAGATAGGTTTAGTGCACATACTAATGGATAATTCAAAGTGACTCAAAATACACATTTGAAACATGGTTTTCTACAGAGTTTAATTTCTTCATCTGCCTCTAAATTGATCTAGTGTACAGCTGAATAATGTATGAGGCAGCTATTTTCCTGTTGCACCCGCTAATGATGGCTAGCAGGCAATTACAAACTTTATTATTTATTAGCACTACAGGAAATAGTCAAACAAAGCATCTGAGCCTGAACTGTTTCCGTTTAACAAAAAAAAAAAAGAATTACTCAGGGAACACGTGGCATTATACCACCTGTGGAACACTTGATGAAAATATAATTTGTTGTGAATTAAAGATTTTAAGGCTGACAATTGATTTTTCCAAATTAAACAAGAATTTAGCATCTCACTCATTTATTTTTTCAGAAATAAACAGTCAGTTCAACAAGCTTGCACTTAATTTTGTATGCTAGCCTGCACGCAACAGAACACTAGTAGAAATATGTTATTCGATATCTTTGCGCACATAACTTGACATCATGGCTCAGTAAAATGTGTGCACGCAGAAGTAGGTGGGATGATATCTTTACTGAGGGCTGAGAAAAGAAAACAGGCAAACCAGCAGGAATAAGATCCCTTCACAGACTGCTTATGTACCCTACTTCCCCTCTGTCAGAGGAGACACAACTCACTATATGTATAAATGTGTGTGTGTGTGTGTGTGTGTGTGTGTATGTTTGTTGAGTGCATGTGAGTGGGTGGAAGTGGATGCCTTTCCCACGGCCTCCAACTAACATGGTCCATGCTCAGAGGAACAAACACACACACAGAGTGACGGCAGTCTGCAGCTCTTTTGCGAAGTCTCTGGGAATGTCGGGCATGACATCACCGGGAATGCTGTCTTTGAGAGGGTTTATAAATTCCAGGCTTGACAGCAGCTAATTCCTGCTGCTGTGAACCATTTTATAATTTCATTCACAATGTACTTACAGGCATGTGGTAGGGGACGAGAGAGGGAGAGGAGAAGTAGAAGATAGGGGAGTAATAGAGAAGAGAAGTGTGGATATTGGTGCCTTAAATCTTATTCAGAATGGCCTTAAATAATTCATTGGGTCAACAGTTTTCCTTGAGGTGTTTAATCATAAGCAGCTCCAGCATACAAGGTGTCATCTTTAGCTATTGCAGATTACAAAACAATGCTGTAATTTGCTACTAGCCAAAATATAGCAAATAAGAAGCTGAAACAATGCTAACAGGTCTTTATACTGTCAATGCAATTAGTAAACAATTCTAGTCCTCCAAAGTTGTGCATTTTTCCTCCAAAAGAACATTCTTCACTGTAAAACTGGAATAAAGGAACAAATATGTAACCAAACAGATAATTAAGGCAAACGTTGTAGTGCCAAAATAATAAATGGCTGAATGCAGGCTACTGAGTCATGCTAACCACCATCTCACAGCTATGCTAGCTTTCAATTGACCATTTTGTACATGTTGTTCAGCAAACATAAGTCCAGCAATTATATTCTATCATGAATGTACAGTAAAATAAGTCATAAATAGCCAAGGTGGAGTAGTGCAAGTGAACTATTTGTGAACGCAGGAGTTAACACCTTACAAGCTCTATTGAGGAACCTTATGTACAGATTTATCGGTCGCTTGAATGACTCAAAGAATATAATTATAATGCTGCTGTTGAACCCAAGTTATAGTGCAGTACGCTACCAGTCGTACCTTTGGAGACATTGGTATAAGTGCCTTTTATAAGAGGCGGGAATGTTTTTATTCTAATGTATATGTGTGTTGTCTATTTTTTGTATTGTATGTCTTTTAAAATGGACCTTGAGTCTAATAATAAAAGTTGATGATGATGATGATAAACAGAATACTTTCACACAATTTCCACGTGAGAAGGTAAATTGCAGCAGCATTAGCAGCAGAGCCTATCCTCCACACTTTATGTTAATCTCTCTGCTCAAACGCAGCTGCTGCTCATTCACCAGGAGGGGGCACTATACTACACAAACATCTGCTCAACAATTTAACATGAACTAAAGACTGGATATTCAGATTGATGACTGCAACATTTCACTTTTGAACATCCACTTTTGCTTTTTTTATTTACTTTTCGATTCGTACCAAGTTTCTTTTTTGGTGGTTTAGTTTATGTTATAAGCAGGTTGTAAAGGACCCTTAGCTTATGCATGTACAAGCATACAAAATAAAAGCATTACAAACTTTTTTGAAATACAAAATAATGGGATTTCAAAATTCATTAAAAATGCAATTACTGCTGATTAACTATTGAATTTCAGCTTTTAATCAATGATTATGAATGATTTTTTCGACAGCCCTAGTTAATATTGATGGACAGACAAATCTAAAATGAACCACGAGACATTTTCCACTTTCAGTATGAATTCAAACCACCTTAAGCTCTATTTCATCCATGTGAAAATGTGTGATCTCTACATACTGTATATTTGTGGGTTAAAAAAGTCCTGATTCCAATTCTATGGAAGTCTGGAAGTATAACTGGACACACATCCACACATTATGTTTTACTCTGTTTTCCTGTGATAATGTGATTGTTTTGTTAAGATGTGTATAAATGGGATAAGCTCATGCTGATGGCCACTTTACATAGCAGCCTCTGCCATCAGTGTGTGAATGGGTATGTGTGACCTGTGGCAAAAGCTCTTTGAGTGGTCAAAATACTTTAAAAAAAAAGAGCTAAACAAGCACATGTCTATTTACCATTTACAATCTCTACTTATTCACATAATTTTCTCAGGATAACAACACTGGTTTTTCCATGACAGCAAGTTCATTTATCATGAAAATTGCTGAAATTAACCAATTATAGAAAGTAAACCAGTGTTGTAATCTTGGGATATCACAATAAATAAGCTGAGAACTAAAATGTACTCATTATCCTGGAGAATGGAGTTCAATAAAATGTACTGATGCATGCCTTCTTAAGGCTTCGGTAAAATACTGTCATTGTCAATTTTCATCACACACACACACACACAACAAGTGGTTAGAAGATAGACTGACTGGAGATTGTTGTGGACATCTTTCAGTTCACGGTGGCATTGTTTCATATGCAGCCACAAACCTCCTGTGTTATCGAGCAGAGGAGAAAATAAGGGTCAACCCACAGTTCCTGGAAAGCTTTAATCACAGTCCACTGTGTATCACCATCTCTTTGTTCATGTGGTCTGGAGCCAATGATGTGGAAGCAGATAACTTAGATGGATTCTGTTTTATATTGTTGATGCTGATACAATTCAATTTTAAGCCCCAGACAATGATGTATTGTCCCCAAGATCAATTAGGAATAATAATCCATAATAGGTGGTATAATCAACCTAAATCATATCTATTGAGCAACAGGAAGGCAGTATCCAGGCAACCCTCCAGCACCGAATCAAAACAAGCAAGGGACTACAAACCGAATACAAAGAGTGTGACATCACTGCCATAAGGATAAACGAATTATTAAGCTCACATTCCACGACAAAATGTTACTGACAAACACATTTTATCTCTGTTACGGCAAGTACATTTCTTTTTAGGGAATTCAACATGTTCCTTTCGTCAAGCTGGGGCCATGGGTGAGGTTAAGCAGACACTTCAAAAGAGTTGCAGCAGAGTGATAAATTATACATGTTTGGTTGCTATACACAGCCAAAACAGAATCAACGAGTGGAAATCGATTCACAGGCCTCTCCATTAATTCAAAACAACCCACACAGACAAACACACACATTGTGCAATGACCACCCGGGCAAAGGAGATCTGCAGCACTAAGCATCACAGCCCAGAAATGTAATGACAGATCATTTCTTATTGTGGGCTGGGTCTGCTGTGTCATACTTTCCCATCTCAGTGCAGTAATGGCCTCAGGGTGCAGAATGGATTGGGCAGCCACAGCAGGAGGTTGACAAAATATACAGGATGTAAAAGATCTCTCTGATGTTGGTGTGGCTACAGTAGTGAATGTGTGCATTTGTTTTAGTTATATTTGTGTGTGTGTGTGTGTGTGTGTGCAGAGGTGAGAGGCAAGAAATCATCCCATCTATCTGTATGTGTTCTGCTCTGCCGCTGATTAAGCCGGGCAGCCTGTGGGGCAGCCTCCAATTGTTGAACATCTCCTTTCCTGGACATTAGCCACGTACGCCAGCCCACAGATAATTGAATCAATTACAACAACGCTGTCTCCTCCGTGTTTCAGCCGCAAAACAAGCAGAACGGAGTGTTCCAGCGAGGCCGAACCGCAATTAGGCCCATCCACGGAACACCTCACTCAGTGAGAAAAAAAAAATCAAACAGTGATAATTATTGTGTTTTTTTGCATGGAGCGACTTGGCTGCGCTCTGCTGCTATTGCTGGAAGGACAAGGACTGAGATGTGTGTGTGTGTGTGTGTGTGTGTGCAAAGTATTCAGCCAGCCCTCTGAATTTGAAGGGACGGTGCATTTCCTGCAGGAGGTGATGGTATTGCGTATGGCACACTGCCACAAATGCTTGGTAACAATCAACCAGAACGTATTCACTGCTTTATGTTCCACTATTTCCTCATTGAGCTACTGTAGTGATTGTGCCTCATTCGAGGGTGTGGGAGATGAACAGTAAACAAGTTTGGATCTGGTGACAGGTACTTTCTTCCTTTTTTTTTAAAATCCATACCTGTTTGCACTTTAATGAGCTGCCAGGCAGGATTCTTTGTGATTTATTTGTACACTTTCTACACATGACTGTACGCTGTTTGACTGTCAATTAGCCTGGTTTCCTTGTCACTACATTTATTTCTTTGTCACTGAAGGCTGTGAAGACTTTATTGAGTAAATGATCACACAGTGTGACTAATACTTTTTTTTTTTTTCCAATTCCAAAACAAAAGTTTTATACTCACAGCACTGCCGGACTCGATGTGAGGCCGCTCCATGGCGATCGTGATGCAGTTTAGGAAGATGATGATCAACACAATGTGGTCAAACATCTTGTGGTTGATGATCTTATTGCACACGATCCGAAACCTGCCGAGATATAAACATATATTAAACATCGAACAAGGTGCCCGCCTGTCCGTCAAACCAGCCACGCCTTCTGTGCCTAATTAAGCGAAACTCTGAGCCTTAAGAAAAATCCAAACGGATGGGTGATAAAACAATTGACCCCTGTACAGCTTTTACGCATAAAAATGAGCTATAGAGACCAAATGGTAATTTTGAACAGGGTAAATAATGAGGACTCCTTGACTTCCTTCGCACATTTTATTGCTGAGTCATGCCATCACCAGGGGTCTTTGCACCTTTTGTTAATACATAAAGTTTTCATTACTTAATTGATGTTCAAGCACAAGGTGCAAAAAGATGATCCCCATTCATTATATACATTTTATTATCGCTGATGCATTCAGGTGTATGTAACGAAAGCAGAGTCCTTATAGTAGTTGGTCACATTGAATCTTCCAATAAAACGAGCGGTAATGTAATCTACATTGTGTCCTATTTTAAAATGTTGCCATATATTCTGTCTTATAAAGCAGTTTTCACATATGCACTGCTGAAAATATCTAGATCATTTCAGGAGGACTGCTACGGATATTCTCCTGACCTGGCTGTTCACATATATGTTCACAAATTACTAGGGGGTCTAGCAGGAGAAACTCTGGGTGAAGTCCGAATGAAAAATTCAGCTCCTCCTGGAAACATCAGGAGTTTTGCAGGAGTTTTCTGCAAGTGTGAAAACCCTATATATGACATTAATGTGTATGAGTTCAAATGTAGCAATCACAAAGGCACATCCAGGTTGCTAGCTTTGGAACGACTTGGAAAAGAAATGTTACGTCCTTTACAAGGACATTTGCTGAAACACTTAACATGTAATGAGGAATCACATTCAATTAACAGTGAGAGGTCTTGTCACACTCACAGTAAATCTCTAATGAACCCTTGTAGAATTAGGAGTCATTAATTATGTCTGACTTTTATTACACAACACGAGAGGAATCGCAGGCCTTTAGCTGGTGACAAAAGAGATGAAGAAAGAGGGAACACTTGTTATGTGTCTCCAGAAAGGATCAAACTGTGCATGAAATCTGCTCACGTTGCTTATATCAGTCTTAGTGTACAGCAGGGGACAATATTGAAAGGCTCAGATCTGGATCCACAGCTTTGTTTGGCAAAGCAGCAAGCATTTCCGAGTATTGCCGAGTCTGGGTGCACGTGTGGTTCATCAAATGTGGTGATGATTATTATGCATGCAGTTTAAAGACTGGTTGATTTAAATCTTCTTTGATAATTCCATGTCAGTAACCTTATGCTAAATGTTCAAGTGTCCTCTCTTCGTCCTCAGGGAAGAGGGAGAGAGAGAGAGGACACATGGCAAACACACGTCTCTGGTGCCAGCTTCTCCACTCCTCTTTGAAGGGTCTCGCTAGGTTAGGTTCAAACACACACACACACACACACACAAACACACACAAATCAAAACCTCAGGCCAAACCTGTCACAACATGTTCTAAAATAAAGCAAAAATAACCCTTCCAGTCAGACCTGGGATTTGAAACAGTCTCTGACATCTTAATGAACTGGTGTTGATATGCAAAGACTTTGACAAGTGTAGGAAGCTTTTTCCTCTGACGATATTTACAGAAACGTGAGTTGTTAGGATTGACCAAAATCTTTTCTACGGTTTGCATTATATTGTTAAAATATTTCCAACGGTTCCATTAGTTAAAAGCGGGGTTGGTAATTTTCAGAAAACTAGCATGATTTTGAAGGTAGCATTCTCTCAGTGCTCCGTCAACACACCAACCCCCTCCGCTCTCGTTCTCTCTCAAAAGCCACGCCCCTCACTCACATGCACGAGCGCCATTGGTGCAGGAGTGGACCTCAGCTCATAGCTTACATTGTGTAGAAACTACGTCGTCTCATGTCTCATTCAGCGGTAAATAAACACTAAACTTTATCACAATGCATGTTTAAAAAAAAAAAAAAAACGATTTTACTACTAAGAATGAAAAACTCACAGTATAATCTCTGTCATCAGTGATGATCTTGGAGTGTGGGCTTGTGCACGCTAGAGGTAGAGAATGAGCAGGGAGACAGGGAGGAGTGATTTGTTCATCAGATTGGTACCTCGTGGCAGACATTGGTCGAAATTTTTTCATGCTTACAACTGCTACAGATGACAGATTTTCTTTGTTCCTTTTTCAGAGCACGAGTTATTAATGTCTGTCAGGACTTAAAGACAATTTCAACCAGAATCTTAAAAAGTGTATCTGGAGAAAATAACCAATCCTGCCTTTGAAGCTATGAATCTGTACAGTTTGACTCAAACTATTTATTTTCCACATTTTTTTTAATTCTTTAGAAATCTCTGCTGTGGTTTTAATATGATCTCAGTGTGTAGTATGGCTCTAGAAGATACTAGCCGCTTCTCCTAATCACCAAGTTCTTTTTCTGCGCTTTCAAAGAAAACTATAGAGGCTGCATCACTTCTTGTTTCTTGGATTTCTGCTTTTATCAGGAAAGAGTTGACAGATGCCAAAACATTGAATGCTTTTTCAGCTGAAGGCTCTTATATGTTGAACAGTTTGCCACTGGAAAGCAGGAACATAAAAAGCTGAAACATAAACATGCTGCAGATCATTAACTGCACACATTACTGTACTGCTGAATCCCCGTCCCTGCTGTCTTTTTGTTCTATTCTTATCTGTATCTAATTATGTGTGTTTCATATGACCCATATCTCTAAGGAGTTACAGTGTAGTTCCATGTGAACTAAACATAAACTATATCAACCATATGGACACCCTAAGATAGCTCTGCACATACCAGGACCTTATGTTCACAGACTGCTGTTTAAACATACGGGCCATTTATACAGCTGAGGGACGTATCACAGTATGTATTTGAAGTCAGTCCCACTACTCCTCTCATTCAAAACTTCCCCTGCAGTAATCTGCAGCAGCAGCAGCAGCAGTACAACAGCGAACACAAAGGCAGGTTGAGGTGAACGCGGGTACATTGGAAAAGCCACTGGACTCCCGCCTCCCACCACGCTCCTGTCTCTTGATGTGATTGTGAGCACAGGCAGGCGTCCACATGGGTTCAAGGCCAAAGTGGGCGCCACACAGAGCCTGTGTCCTCAGTGTCGCTCTCAACCACAACTGAACCTTCCAGCCTGCTGTGACGGAAAGCCAGCTAGAGGCCCAGTTTGAGCCAAGATCCTGATTCCGGTTTCTTGATACTCTGACAATAATGGACTAGAGGGAGCTTATCCTATTAACCTTTTTCCAGGTTGTATAATACAGCCATCAGAAAGGAGAACAATCCAGTTGATGACATGGCTCAATTTCAAGATTTTACAGTAGGTCTAAAATACAACTCAATTGAGCCATTATTTATACTGATAGTTATGTTGGATCCCTGACAATATTTCAAAACACCTTAAGCGGACATTTCAATTCCTTTTAAGACTTTAAAAATGTGAACCATTACCATGAATCCTTTTTGTAGAAACAGTACCTTCTTCGCAAGTCTCTTTGGTGGACCTTTTCTCTCTTTTATCATGTTATACAGACCAAAGCATCTAACTACTTTACCAACTCTTAACACTTCGTGAGGATACTGCTCTTTATATGTTCACATGCACAATGTAGACTTGCATGGTTGGCTAACTTGGCTTCTACCTTGATGAGTGGTGAGTTAGCGCGTCTTCTAACAAGAACATGAATTCTATTTATCTAAATAACCTGCTTTGTAAGTGGCAGCTTCATCACACTGTTCGTCCCTCATGTTATCATGTTTGTTTGATGATATATCGGACGGTCTGAGAGCGAACAGAGAATAGACGAGGCAGCGTTTGAAGCAAAGTAACCGTGCACCAAAAAATACGCTTTACACCCTGTTTCTGTGAGTAAGTCCTCCAATGTCTTCCTATATGTACAGTAAAGTACATAAACACTCACACAGCCTGGGCCGTCAGAACCGAACCGAAAACCATGACGAAAAAAAACGAGGTACATTTTGAACCTTGGGCTGACTGCAGTTTTGCGACCCTAAGACATCATTTATTTGGCACTGAAATCTCCTTCAACTATGTGAATTGTTTTATGCTGTGTCTGAGAGCCATTGCATTGGAAACATCTGCTCATTTGCAACAACATTATGACACCGGTGATGGCTAACATTCCCTTTGGATGTGTGGCAGGGGGCTCCTTGTTTGATGTTTAATTAGCGAGTTGCAAGGCTGTGGTGGCAGGCTGGGGGCCAGTATGTTGCCTGGTGATGCCTTCATAGCCACATCCCCTAACAGACAGCAGCGATGCTTGGATCAAAGCCCCAGAAGAGGAGGAGGAGTGAAGGAAATGGGGGCGAGGAAAGGTGGGAGGCAATGTATTCAGCACGTGGCTAAGATAACACGCCGCTCACTCAGTAGGAGAAACTCCCTTCCCTCCCTTTGCTCCTACTTACTCACCCCTGACATGGCAGAAATGTGCAGATAAAAGAGACTTCTGAAAACAGAATGTGGGAGGGAACAGGAGTGGATATAGGAGGACAGAAAAAAAAATGCTGTGCTCACACTGCGGCAAAAAAAAACAAAAAAAACACTGCCATTGCATTCAGCATCAGTCAAATGCAATGTTAAAAATGATGATATTCTTGTCAAGAGGAGGGCTCAGCTAGTTCCTGTACACTGATAACACCAGAAAAAAATGTTTAACATTTTTTTAAATGCACCTTTAAATACACTTATAATTTCTCTCAACTTCCACAGGAGGAGGTTACAAATCTTCAGACAGCCGTGGTGGATTCAGAACTTCCATGAATATGTTAAAGCCAGTATTAAGGGGAGAGAACCTGCAGGACTAAGAGCAGGGCAGAGAGGTGGAGATATGGAGATGAGTAGAGTTCATATATTACCTCAACTCTGGAGGGAAGAGGTAGAGGGACCAGGTGTCCCTCTGTCGACACCACTCCGGCTGTTTCTTCTCCAGCCAGTGAAACATCCTGGCAACACGACCCTAGGGAGGGTAGGGAGTGCACACTTCATTATTTATTTATTTATGTATTCACTATTGCTTGTTGCATAATTTGGCCCAAAATTATTCTAAACATATACAAGTTTTTTGATTAGTTTTTCTCTTGCACATACTGTATGAATAAATCAGGGATTACCAAAAAAGGCAAACAGATACAAGGGGCATGCTAATTTAAGAAGAAATATGCATTGCTAAGATTCCAGCTGCTTAAATTGCTCCAAACTTAAATATGTCTTTAAACTGGGAATGTTATTGTATTTTTTGTTTGAACAGAGGCATAGGAACAAGCAAACATGCAGACGGACTGACCACGTTGGCCTCCTCCTCTGCATTCTCTTCCTCAGTGTTGTCCTCCAGAGAGACATGAGTGGGGCCCAGGACTGATGGAGAGCCCTTCCCGTTGCAGTCGCGATGCTCCGGGGGCAGCAAGTGGCCCAGTGAGGGGGGTCTGGAGCTGTGCATGCTGGCTGAGCGGTACAGGTATGGCACCTAAACGAGGAAAAGGACATTAAGGGCAGAGGAGATGTAGTCACACATAACTTCTTTGGTCTCATCACTTTATTTTTTATTCATGGTTTTCACATTTGTTTTCTTATATAGCCCACAGGTGAACTTGTATACAAACAAACAAGACTGAGACCTAAGAACACCCCAGTTTCCCACTGTACCTCTTGTGGTCTCAAACAATATGGCTGTTTTCCATTTTCAGTCTCCATCCAGATAGATATTTTCCCAGACATCAACTGTATTTTTTACCCCTTATTGGTACAGTTCCCTCAGAAGAATTAATATTACACAGAAAGAGCATCATGAAGCTCAACAAACATTTTACATGATAATATTAATGACACAACCCGACATATCTGAATGAGCTGCAGCTATAACTCCACAATCTCCACAGCATGGTAGACTTTTGTTTAATATTTGATCCTGGCCTTCTGTGTGACAAAAAAAAAAAATGATCACATTTTTCCTCCATATCGGAAAATTGCTGGATGTTTGATGTATTTTCCAAATGTCATGTCAGTCATTATCTGAAATTGTCTTAAGAAACTCAGATTCCTCTTTTTCTTGTACATTTGAGTTGCGTAGAAAGACTGTGGGGATAGACGCCTACCAGAGGGGAGGAGTTTGAACAGTTTGTGTTTTGGGGTTGTGGTGGTCTGCAGTGATGTCATCTGCCTGTTTTCTGACCCTGGACCAGTAAAAGTCCTGGAAGGAGGGCAGGTCAGCACCACTGATTTTTTTCTTTACTCCTGACTGTCTGTTGCAGTTATTTGTAATCAATGTCTGATATGGTACCGCAACTGGCGGCCCCAATCAACCCTCAATGTGGCCCCCATGTCAATTTTTACATATCATTTTATTGGAAACATGAAGAAAACATGACAAAATCTGCCATGAAATCATGAAAACCAGAAATATGTCCATAATAATATTTGATCACTGGTATATGTTGAGTTAAATTTGAGACATAATTGACTGTAATTGTTTTTGTATACTACAACTTGGCCCCCTGGCAGTGAGAATAAAATTAATGTGGCCCTTGCTGTGACCAAAGTTGCCCATCCCTGGAGTAGACCATTGACTGGTCCGAGAGAACCAACCACTAGAGAGTTGGTGTGGTAGATTCTGTGATGTGTATCGTCTTTATAAAGCAAACACAGGCAATCCAACAGTTGTTACACTTGGCATCATTATAAGCTCAGAAAAGAACCCAGCCTCCCGTGAGCACTTACTCTCGACAGGATAAGGTTGAGTAAAAGACGTGTTGTATCAGTAAAGAGACTTAAATAGAGCCAATCATGTGCTATTGGGAAAGGCCCAGTCAGTCCAGAAGATTCATCAAGCTTACAAGCAAACATTTGTATTATATCTACTATGCATGCATTATCCAAAGTCATAGTTTTTTTGTATTCTTTGATGTTGAACAAAAAAGGGAAAGATGTGTCAGTTTTCGCTGACATCTTCTGCTTAAAGCTGTGACTGGGATTAAACCAGTGAATGAGAATGCTACATCTGAGCATGTGACATGCCAAGTGAGCAGGCCTTACGATTTGTGAAGCTTGAGGTGTCATTATTATTGTTCCCCCATTGTTTGATAGATTTACAGCATGTACCTGCAGCAGAGCATCAGGAGGCAATTCCATGGAGCTCCGAGTCTCCACTGACTCCATCCTCCGATGTCGGGGTCCTCTCTGTGACTGGGACAGGGAGTCCGTCCTGGCCAGAGAGGCATCATCTTCATCCATCAACCCACCTCCTCCTCCTCCTCCTTCTTCTCCTCCTCCTCCTTCCCCTTCCTCCGAGCTGGAGCCACCCTCCCCAGAGAGGAGGGATCGCCGCTCCCCCGACTGCCGCTTCTGTCGTTTGAGTGAAGGGGCACGACTCAGGCTGTTCCAGCTGGACCGGCGACTGGTCCTGCCGCTGCCAGAACTCCACAGGGCATAGGGGGAGACGCTTCGGGCACTGGTCTGGAGCAGGTGGACGACCAGGTGGGCAAGAGGAGGTCAGAGTGGGATGTAGAAAGCAGGAGGAAGGAGAATTACCAAAGGGACTGCATGTCAAATGTGTTGCTAAAGTGTCTTGGTTTGTTGGGAGCTGATTTCAATTAAAGATTCATTCTGAGAATCAGACAGCAGCAGATGCAGAGATCTGGGCTTATGTTCTTCAATCTTGAGGCTAATTATAAGCTTGTCATATAATTAGTGGTGGTAGCAGCAGTAAATGTGTTGGACCAGCATGCAACATTAATCATCATCAATCACTATGACCGCAACACACCAGCAAAACATGGACATAGAGTTCAGAGAGACTCTAAAGGGCACACATCCTCCTCACATACGTATTCATTTTGGCTTCCTGGCATCCTGAAAATGGGTTGTTACGATCGGATTGCATGCATTCGGTGTGAGCTGAAATGATTTTGCATGTACAAACCGGTGATCTTTCATAGCTCGCTGGGTCTACGGAGATGTTGCTCCCTCGGCGGGAATCGAAGCCCACGGCGGGTTCACCTCCGACAGGCAACTTGGGTACGGGCATTGGCGTGGCAGCCGTGTGGGTAATTAAAGGTGGAGTCAGGCTGGTCTTCAGGTCCACATGACCGTTTACTGGCACTACTAGCACAGGAAAGAGGGGTCAATTGGAGCGTGGGGGATGGGTAAGAATAGGGATTGTGTGGGGTTTGAGGTGAAGAATAGAAGACGGATGAATAAAATGGTTGCATCCCAAATGACAGAAGTGTGAAACAGAAGGGACCAAACTTAGAACACTTGATGATAAAAAAAAACAAACAAAAAAAACTTTAAAGGCGAATAAAAGTTAAAAAAAACTTACAAAAACAACTGGGGGAACAGAGAACAGCATGAGGTGGCACATGGGTGCACACTCAGTAATGCAGCACAGCGTACTTAAAATGGATGCCTCGTACTGGTACTGAGCAACATGAATATTTCAGCAGGGCATTAATCTTATGGGATGCGTGGGAGAGGATATTATGTTTGGCAGCAACACAAATACATGACATGCAGAGGGAAATGCAACTTTAATAACGCTAATTCCTCCGTCTTCCCGACTTTTATCCGAGGCCTAGAAGATGTCTATTAGACTCTTCCAGCTATGTAAGCAGTTTGATGCAGAGCGTCAGAAGGAGCTGAAGGGGAGGGTGATACCGTACGTCTGGGACTTGTTCTCCATACAGTAGTGTTTCCACTGGGCTTTTCAGTCTGCGCGAACAGTAATTAGAGGGGATGGGAAACCGGCGTATGAGGAATTATGGATGAGGCTGCTGTTCTGGTTTGATGCTGTGCAGGGAGACAGGCAGACACGTGCCTACTGAGTGAGGTCTGAAACCAGCTGAGAAAAAAACTGAGAACAGAAGACCACTGACACGCAAAAAGGCGGGGCGGATGTTTGACTAGGGCAACGTTTTAAAAGCCCCTGGCTTAACCAGCTGCTGTATTACAATCTTTAACATACATTTTGTAAGAAACACAACAGGGTAAGTAATCTGCGGGGGGTTTGACAGAGATTAGTGAAGCAAAATGCAAACAGCTACAAATGCAAACACAGATGGTTCAAGTTTTGCAAGTGTGTTTAATGGGGGGCTTTGATAAATCACAACCGAGTTGAATTGATTCGCCCACATTCCACTTGATTCATGGAGTAGATAGTGATTGTGTTCCGAATACACAGGTACAGTTTATGTGTGTGCCTCACCTGCAGACGCTGATAAATCCTTCTTGCTGCCGTTGACATCCTCCATACTTCGTGCACAGGAATCAATCTCAGAACCTGATTTAGAAGCATCTCCCTTGACACACAAAAGCACATAAAAGTGTTAGCCGAATACACCTGTAAAAAAAAAAAAAAAAATCTCTCTTTCTTGGTAGAGTTAATAGAAAGCAGCTGGGTTGAAGTTGCCTCTAAACACAGATCCCTGCTTTGCTGTAGCTTAGTCACAATGATGCATCAATCGTCGTTCAGATTGGACCCTTGGATCACTCCCTAGAGGCAACCACACTCCTGTAAGCGGGGCGGGTGAGGTTGCGGTCTCCCTAAACCCTGAGTTCAAATCTCACAGGGTGCAGAGAGAGGGTGAGAAAGATTAATTGTAGATAGTGCTGGCATGCCAGGAGGGTGAGAAAGATTCTTAAGAGAAACCACACTGAAACTCAACAAGGAAATGGCAACATTATAATTTCAGAGAGCTTGGTCCGTATATTGAGTTAATAAAGCTACAAGGCATTTTGTTTTTAACTCGTCTAGACCCTAAGGAGCTTCAGTGTGGTTGCTAGATACAATTTTCACACTTAAACACACAACTCACATAAGGTGTACATAATTGTATTGTAAGGCACTCTGCAAACCAGCAACAGAAATTGGCTTTTGTCAGAAGAGCAGAAATAGGTATGCCTTGTTTTGATGTCAAAATAAGTTCTTCTCACTGCCTCACGTTCACTTACAGAACATCTCATCTCCAGATTATTGTGTTTCAAAGAGTTTTTCTAAGGCTAACAATTGCTCTCTCCTTGCTGCTGCTTTAACCCTGCCCCCACTTTCCAAACTACTGCAGTATATCTCAGAGTTCCCTGCGTGTATTTGTAGCACTATGCCAGAGCCAGCGGACTCCATTAAGGTGTGTGAGAATGCCAGGTGGATGCTGGATTCACAGAATGCCAAACTGGGTGAGTCAGAGCTCCGTAGCAAAGTGATTTAACTGTATGCAGAAAAGCCTCGGGACCTAATCACCAAGGACCTCCATTTTAAAATTAACAAATTAATGTCTTGATACTTCCTAAGAGTTTAAGAGTAAGACTAATCAAGTGTGGATGTTGTGAATACTGAGTTTGTTTACTGCAGGAAAGGTACAACTGCGTCTGAGGCATCAATTTGTTTTTTTTTTGTAATTAAAGCCACTTATTTTGTGTACCCGACTGATTTCCCCGACACTGTGTAGTGTGGGAAAATAAGTTAAAGAGAACAGATGCTAATGAACAAGCAACCAAGAGGCTGCTTAGAGCCTTCATGTTTTTGCCGTGCTCATCACATTTCCGCAACTCATTTCTCTTTAGAAATGTAGGCTCACGGCAGGGAACATGAAGAGCCCAGGGATACTTTTAAAAACTCACAATATTAGGAATTTAATTTCTATTAATGAATATCTTTAATGGCCCTCTTTCTTCTACATTTTATGATTGCGTTGTAATGCTTTGAGCATTATAGTATGTTGTTAGCATTTAGCTTTAAGCATTACTGAAAGTATTGACATTTTTGATTGTTGCTTTTTTTTAATGGCTGATTTATTCTTCCAGCATTTTAATCAATATTTTCATTTCCTGCAGTTCCTTGTTTCGTCTTTTTTTTAGTTGTGTGTTGACAGAGGAAGCCTTTGAGCTTAATAAAACACTCAGTGAGAAACATCCTTCAATAATCCCAGGGCCTGGTTCACAGAAGAATTGTGCAGCATTTGCACCCACTAAACCTGAGCCTGATCTAATTTACAAAATACAGAAGGGTTCAATGCACTCCTACATTTGCTGCAGATCAAACAGTATCTCTGTGGGCCAGTGCTGTTTGTTTGTATTTTAATGAGCCATTATGTCGTCCTTTAGGGGGCCAATTGACCCTTTCTATGCAAATCCAACGCTATATGAATTTATAATAAATATTCTGTAAATACAGTCTGAAAATATTACTGCAACACCACTCTTATTTCAATAACCAGAGGTTAAATCAGTCCTGGGCTTTTCAACGGCCCTACATTTCATCCACATATTTGGGGAGGTCTGGAGCTGTTACGCATGTGAAGGATAGAAGGGTTGTTGTTTTTTCTTAAAGCTCTCCTTGCTTGCCCCATTCAAGAAGGAAGCTTTTTTTTAACTTTGAAACTCGTTTTATATTTTTCGAGTTTGGCCTCAGAATACACTTGAGAAGGTTTCCCCAGATCTCTTTGCTCATTGTCATTATGTGGACAACATAGCGCTCGTTCAGCACAAGAGCACAGATCTGTGCAGAGTGAATGTGCAGATAGCCTCTCTCCCGATTCAGACACAGAAGAAAGAACTGTGGAGCAGGACAACGTTGTGGGCGTGCTTGCGCCTCAATATTTTTAGCACTATGTGCTTTGTGAATTAGACGTCTAGACTGAGCAGATAATGGGAGCAAATGATGAGCACTTTTTGAAGCTATTAGTGGCTGCAATCCATTCTTTGTGACTCAGGCCCTGAAAGTGCTCCACCTGCATACTTTCTTTTCAGATACATTTCTCAGAGTAAAATGCAGTAATCAACTGTTCAGTTTTGTTATTCTTGACTGACTAGTATTTCACCTGCATCTTCTATTTTATTTCTTCTTTATATGTTATGGAGCTACCACAAAATGGAGAGGAATTTGTGAACTTAAAACAATTTGGCCAATAGTGCTTATTCTCATTCTAGTCAATTAGCATACACACCATAAGGGCTAATTTTGTCTTTGGTCATGTACTAATTTATTTTAAAACATACAAAAACACATTCACCATTACACTGACAGCAAATACCCACAACAATTTATTCCCAAACATAATCGAAGAAAAAAAACGCCGGTGTAACCTCAGTTAGCGCCTCTTTTCTGCAGGGCTCATCCAGCCACAGGTAATCAGTCAGAATAGAGAGCTCCGATAGGACAATACCAAGTGGAGTGCAAGGCTCATCTGTGCTCTTGTTTTAGAGTTTGGGTGTATGTGTGTGTAAGGGGGGGTGGGGTCAAAGAGATAGTCCTGGCTTTGGTCCCTGCTGAGAGGTGCTCAGTTAGTGTTAGCTTGTGTCTGCAGCAGCCTCTGGTCATTTTAAAGGTCAGTCTGACGGAGTGGTTGGTACTCACTGTAAAATCAAAGTTAGGCCATGGACTTTGTTGTGGTGACCTTGTAGTGTAAGAATAAGGATGAGACCTGACAGGCCTATGTGAAGAGCAACAGGACAACCTGACCCTCATCTCTCCTTTCTGAGGCACACAGACAAAATATTAAAGCCTAAGATTCTCATATGGTAACAGCTCTGGTTTAGTGAGCCCTGAGATCAGCCTTAGCTGCAGGACAAAAACACAGGCACACATTGACTATAAATTTGCGTGCAATCTTTCGCCACTCAGTACAGTTGGTATATTTATAACAGGGCACTGAAACGCAGGCTGCTTAATGTGTCTTTTGCAGCTGTAGTATAACAATTTCAGAGTTTACCTGTTGACCTAGCAGCAGGTCAAGACTGAAACTGTGCAACTATTTCGCAAAAGCTCAAGCTGACCAAAGATCTGTTCTGCCCTTATCGTCAGGAGTGCACAGTACAATTTAGAAACCCAGTCAGGCAGTCAACAGGCTGCTGAGAAGAAGCCCTCACATCAGTGAACCTACATGAGACTAGGGGGAAGAGATTAATCCAGCTCAGACATGATTCTGATTTTAAAAAAAATATATTTTTCACCCTCTCGCTCCCCTTTTCTTTTCTTTTTTTGGCGGGGGGAGGGGGGGGGCAGGTCTCAAGGGAAATCCTTGGTCCCCAAATAGCAGGGCTGTTTAGATAGCCTGTTTACACTCTGCCACCCCAATTTGGGCATGGTGGTGGGAACAGGAGATAGGCCAGACCAGGCCTGCTGCTGATAGCCGGACAATAATGGACACCAGCAGCACACAGGGGGATCTCTATCATATCCCTTTAAAAAAGGGTGTAAATAGGGGGACAGAGGGTGGATGTTGATAGGATGTAATTGTGTTTCTGTATGTGTGTGTCGGCCAAAAATTGCATCCTTCCACAGCAGCATTAGAGAATGAAATTAAATCAGATACGTGTGCTGTTATAGCCCGCTAAACCAACACCAAGGACTTAATGGCATCCACAAGAATAATTAAATGGAAACCTATATTTCAAAATCTAAACGCAATTATGTAACCATTATTTCACTCATTTTAATCTGTGTAAACTTTTGCTAAAATGCTATAAAGAACAGCACATGCTGACAGTTGTGTCCCCAGCTGAGCAGGTATTTGTTTTGTGAGGGAAAGGACTAAAACTTTCATGAAATCCATTAAAAATAATTTTAGTCTCAAACAACACGGTGTGTGTTACCAAACATCACCCATACCACCATGAGGATAGCTGAATTGGATTAAATTCAAAATGGAAATCTAATGGAAAACTTGTTTTCAATTATTCGTCATAACCTCTCAATAGCAAAAATTGTGTTTCAAACAAATGCATTTTTCTTTTTCATCACTAAATCCACACATAATGAGCAGACACATTTCTAGCTGCTTATTGATTGATTAAAAGCTTCATCATTGATTTAATGATTTAAACGTAATATAAATTGGTCCTAGAATACCCAGAAGATGTACAATGTGTGCAACGTGGTATACATTTCAAAGAGGCAAACAAAAAGAGTGACATAACCAAAAAAACAGGTTAAACCATTAGAATCAGCCAGCAGACTCCGCTCAAACACCCATCTGAAGCTTAGAACTCGATGGTCCTCTGTATTTAAGGAAGAGTCCAAAAGAGATTAGACAAAAAAAAAAGAATCAGAGCATTTGCCTATTGGAAAAAATGTCCTGGTTTAGTTAAGGATTCAATTCATCAGTGTAAAATTAAAGGACAGGGAGAAGACCATCTTGTTTTCAAAGGCCTCATTTCCCAGAGTGCACTGGCCTTGCCTTAATAGTCATACAAACAAAGCTGATCCGCCTCCTTTTTATTAGCTCTAAACCTGTAGCCTGGTTGGATTTATCTGGCTCTACTAGGGCTTTTCCAAAAAAAAACCTCATTCAGCCCCAACCTGTTCTCCTCTCTTCTTAACTTTAAAGGTCACATATTATGCAAAATATACTTTACCATGTTTTCTAACACTAAAATGTGTCTTTAGCCTGTCTACAAACCCCCCCACGTTTTGAGAAATGTCCATCCTCTGTGTCTTTTGTCTGCGCCACTTTTCAGAAAATGTGTGCTCAAACAGGCTGTTTGGAGATTTCCCCTTCGAGACATCACAAAGGGCAGTAACCCCTCCCCCAGGTGCGTGACACTCCCACAGTTGGGTGTATGTTCTGCCCACTCATCCGCCTTCTTACCCTTAAAAATAGGGCATGGCGAAAGAAAGTCCAAGGCCTTCCAGAGAGGGGGTGTGGTCAGACACAGCTCATTTGCATTTAAAGCTACAGACACAGAAGCAGCCTGTTCGGAAATAAAGGGGTTAATAGGAATGATAAAATATATGGTCAAGTGAATTCGTTAGCAAGAAGCTTCAAAGACATGTTTGGGGAGCTCTGAGACTTATTTAAACTTGATGAAAAGGAGGATAATATGTGACCTTTAAATCGATCCCCCAGCCAGATAAAACTGAAGCTGAGAGAGGAAGACTTAGGCAGCACCAGCGTAGCTTTCTTACCCCGAGGCTGGAAAAGAAAAAAGTGAGGGGAGGGGGGCCTGGTTGGAGTAAAGCATTCGCCCTGGGATTTGATGTGGAGTCTGCTTTTAAAGTTAGACAAGAAAAGAAAGAAAAACACGCAAATACAGCAAAGTGAAGAAATTCTTAGAACTCTTTGTAGTTTCTTCTACTGAACGGTCACAAATTTCCCAGTTAGTATTTTGCATCATGCAGAAAAGCAGGTGAGAGGACTTTTTGGTAATGTGGTACATTCTCTGGCAGCCAGGTTGGAGGTTATAAGCATAGCAACATAGGTGAGTAACTTGACTTCTGTAGTTGTGATTCAACAGCAAAGAGATTTGTTCATTTTGGTATTTTGGAAGAGGCTGGTTGGAGTGACACATTCAGTTCCACATCAATATCAAAATACTAACAATCTTACAATCAGCCAATCCATGACTGGTGAAGCAACAGACTTCAGTTTGTGGTGCAGAAGGTTTTAAATATGACTTTAGAAAAATGATTGTCCCTTTAAAACGTTGATTAAATCTGCAATTTCTATTTGGTGGTTTTTTTGGTGGCTCATTTTGTAGACAGCAAAATGTTTTTCTTGAGTCACTCTTTAGAATCATTTCCATTTTCTTTCTTCAAAATCATGATCGGTGAATTCTAATACCATGTTACAAAAGTGTAACAGTACACTACATGCACTCTTCACTTTAGAACTCCAGTTTTCTGGTTGTTGCTTTGGATATAATTTGACAAACACTAAATTATCATCATTTTTTTAATGTTAAGCTCTCACAGTGTCTTATTGGACTAAATTCTTAAAGTAAAAACAACATTAATACTCCATCTAAGACTCTGTTCTGCCAGTAATTCCTTAAAACTCACAGCTGTGACTCGTTGATCGAGGGGAAGACTGAATTAAACTTTGAACAGAAGACCAGCCTAGAGATGGCTGCCTTCTTCCATCTTCACCCCTTACCTCAACATAATATACATCAGTCTTAATATAAAGAAATCCTGAATTCACATTAAATGTTTAAATACATATTTGTGTGGTGTGGTTAGTTAATCATCACACTAATGTCACAGGTGGATACTGGATAGCAGCAATAATAGACATTTTTAACATTGTCTAAAATGGCTCAATTTCTGGCCAACTAGCTTGCTACAACTTAACTAACTATAACTAAAAGGCTACCACACTTTCTGAAAAAAAGACAGAGTCACTCTTGCAAGGACATAAATGGTTACAGTGACCCACAAAATTAGAAGTCTGAACCTTGAATTCTGTTTTCATTTCAGAAACTTTACCCCCCTACAGTTTGGCCTGCGTCTATGGAGTAGAGGGGAATGATTGTTACAGTGAGAAAGAAAGCATGTGTTCAGGGTTGAGATCATATAAATAGTGGATTGATTTAAAATGCCATATATAAAGTCAGTGCTTCTCAAAGTGTAGTCTTGAGCGTCTTGTTGTTATGGGCAGGACTCTCAGAATTTTAAACTGTTTGGAGTTGTTCCTGACTTCTCTTTTGGCTTGTGAATTTTTTTGAAAGCACACGATATTTTCTAACACAGTTACTCATCTTGTGTACTGATGATTCAACTGCTAGAGTTTTTGTCCATTCAAGCCTTGGAAAAGCTCCAATTGCAAGCTATTTGACGCTCTCTGCGGAAGGAGAATGAACTGGACTTGTACTTTCTGAAGCTGTACTCTGTGCAATTGGGTTGGCAACGAGACACTTAGCAGCAGCATCTGAAAGAGTCTGCGTATAAAAGAAACGTTATGCACGGCTTTATTTAATGAATGGCCTAAAACACAGAATATTTTGTTGTTTTAATTGGGTGAATTTGCATATAAATTATTAAAAATCTGCTTAAGTGTATTCAATGAAAAATCTAGCTGGTTTGTTAATCAGATTCAGAATCAGAAATACTTTATTAATCAACCAAATAATGCACAAAAGCAAAAGTGAGAACAGACCTACACAGTCTCTGCGTAATCTTGCAACTATTAATAAATGAGATGCATATAACCTTCGAACTGTGGCTGTTTCGAGATGTGATACATCATCACAAAGCCTCTACGGGTAAGGGTGTTGGGAGTGGGCCAAGAGGGTGGGCAGAGGGGAGGTAGAAGTAGGACGGCAAGACGATTAAACAAGGGGAGGGAAGGGAGAGCTGCAGTGCTTTACATACCCCTGACTCTACAGGCAGCTGAATCAGGCTCGGCTGGACATGCAAGTCCTCCCGCTTGGTCACTTCCTATAGTGGAAGTGAGAGTTGCAGCCGGACAAGGGAGGGAGGCGCACACAGGAAAAGATGCACAGAGGTGAGAGGTGGAACCATTGCAGTGGATAAGAGCAGAAGGAAACAGTTAAAAGGAGATTCAGCCTGTTTGTAACATCTTGACTTTACCATGCAACAGAGCAAATCAAAGCTACTGTCCTGGATCACAGTGTGCAGTCATGGCTGCACATGTCGAAAGCATGAAAAGTCAGGACAGCAAAGAGCAGACGTGAAGAGCACAGCTATGTTTTTACCTTCCATTCGTTGGTCCGGTCATGTTTAGTATGAAAGTCCGACAGCAGTAATGAGAATGGTCTTGACATATACATTTAATGACACTGCAGTCCAGCTATGCATTGTTCAGGACATTTTGTGCTCAGAATGGAAGCATGCCTTTGCAGCAGACTGTCATGTAAGCTCTTATCCTGCGTGTGTGCGCTTTAATGTGATGTGCATGGTTGCATGTATATTTATTGGCATTGTGAGAGGTGTTATAGAAAAGAACAACTTCAGTCTCTCTGCTGTTAATAGGTCTCCATGAAAAAAGAGATTGGTGTGGTTGCACTCTCTGCAGCGGATACTGAATCCTCTCACATGTACACACCATAACAACCTGACACACTGAGAGAAAGTGTGTGGATGAGATGAAGATGATGGTTGAAGGAGACAAATATAAAAAAAAGTGTGGGGGAAAAAATACCTCCTTAAGAATATTTCCCCTTTGCCTTTACACTCAAAGCAATAAAGACATTGAGCGATACACTTTTTTTGTGCATGGCTGCGTGTGTCTCAGCTCCACAGCCATGTATCTCTCCTGGCTTGGCTCACGTCGTACAAGCGCCCGTTACCTAGCAACCCTGACGCAAGGAAAGTTTGGGCCGACTAAAAATAAACTTAGTGTTTGCAGAAAAAGGATGTTAAGTTGAAAAAAGAGAGGGAGAATGAAGCCGACAGCTGCGGATACGAAGGGGGGGGACAGATCACAAGCTGAAAGACCTAGAGGGGGCTTCGACATTCGGTGGTGTGTGTGTATCTGAGTGCGTATATTTCAGTGTTTTTGAAGAGTTCTCTCTTACCTCCCATAGATTTTGACAGAGGTAAAACTTAAACAAAAAAAGACACTTTTTCTATTTCTGTTAAAAAGTGACTGCACAGTATTAGCTTTAAAATTAGCATCATAAGCAAAGTGCCTCTTAATAAAGGTTTGCAACTAATATTTTCTTCTCTCTTTAGCTGCCCATATATTTGACTCTCAGCAGCTTCAGTGGTCAGTCAGTTGGTATTTATCTGCTGCAACGTTAGCTTACATCCTTCAGCAGGGAGGCAGCTGGGGCTGTTTTGCCCTTTGTGGGTGCTTTGAAAAGAACATACAGTACTTTCTTTTTGTGGTATTTTTTTTGCAAATGGCTGAAACGCCATTCTTTTCTTAAAAACGTTAACGTTTTTTGGGGGCTTTTTATGCCTATATTTAAGAGACAGGACAATAGCTAGAGTAAGATTGAATAAAAAAAAAAGATTGAATACATTTTCCTCTTATTGGATTTGACCAAAAAGAATCACATGTCAAGACGAAACATTAAGTATTAAAGAATGCTTGGCTTAACCTCAGCTTCATTTTAATTCTGGCACCTTAGTCTGGTCTTAGTCTGCATTAAAAACCTTCATCCTATGCAGCTCAGTGTCTCATACCTGATATTTGTACAACAGATCAGCTCAATAGCAATAGAAACCCATTACAAAGAATCAATTTTTTATACCGCTGTCAGCCTCTCCCTGCCACCCCTTGTATTCTCTCTCCTCTCATCCAAAGAACCAAAGACCGTCAGAGATCAAAGCGGAGGAGCCGACACCCCTTACAGACAGAGGGGGGAGGGAGACTCTTCCCATCTGTCTCACCCTCTATTTCTTACCTGTACTAAATCTATCAGTCCCAAATACAACTTCCTTGTTTAATACGGACCTACATATTTCAGGGAAACTACTCTTCTCAGCAGCTGTCTCTTATAAAACATATTTCTATATCTTTTCGTTGTCTCTTGGTTTTTATTGTCTCAAAGAAGAAGAATGAGAAAATATAGTTTGTGGGTGGACAGCGTACTACTCTTCAGTTTTTGACAAACGAAGAGTTATACTAGGGATCCCGAAGATCAAGTGATGAAGGTGTTAGGTATGACAAGAAGGCATCTGTAACTCATGTAACAGGATATGTTGGTATGTAAACAGTCACTGTCTAGTCTAGCAGACATAGTTGTCTTATGATGTACTTCATGGCATGACTGCATTGGCAGAAAAAAAAAAAAAAAGAAGCAGAACAATAATAAGGTTGACTGCTGAGATAGTGGGAACGAGTGGGAGGACAAGAGGCTGACAGAGAGATGAAGATGAAGAGGAGAGGATAAACACTGCAACATAGTGTGCTCTCATATCTTCACCCACTGCAGAGAGTACAAGAAAAGGTACAGGTTAATGCCTACAGGGTCTGTGAATGTGTTATGTAGCCTGTGTGGGCATGAGCATCCATCCATTAGGATTATTATGGTTGCCTTTACTGAAAAAAAGATTTTATTGAGTAATGTAGCCTCATATTTCTGTCTTGAAAACTATTTCTCAAAAAATAGTTACATCAGGGTAAGATTAGAGTATATAGACACTACTTTCCGAAGGACTTCCTTTTTTACAGAAATAATTGTGGTTACGCCTGGAAGCGAGCCAGCTCCGTCTGCAAGGTTACTTAGCTCACTTGTTATCAGAAGAAGAAAAACAATCTCACCCAGGGGGGAAAATCAGACTCTAAAGACTTAAGGAAAAACTGGACTGAATTTCAGGAAAGAATAGTGAAGTTGTAATACAGAATGGTTAGTTGTGTACATGTGTCCCCAGCCAACACTGTACCTCTGTCTGGAAACCTTCAACCAAGATGGCCACCAGCAAGTTGAAGAGGACGTAGTTGCCGAAGGTCATGAGCGCAATGAAGTAGAGGGCAGCCACTGGGGAGGTGGACGCCATGCCATTGTAAAGTACCTTGTTCCAGTCCTCCTGTGTTAGAATCTGGTGGAGAGGAGATGGAAAAGTATTACATTATGTAGTAGTTACAGAGTATTTGTTTGGTGTTTGACTGTTTGCTGTTCCAGGTTTTCCATCTCACAAGTTTGAACCAACAGACGGAGATTTACCACACCAAAGTCTGGGGAGGTTCTGACAACATGGTTGATTTTTCATGGATGGTTGATTTTGGATTAAAGTAGACAAAAGCATACATTTCATATCTAGATAGGACACCAGCTGGCACTAGCCGATTGTACCAGCTGTAGCTAACCAGCTAAACTAATACTAGCTCCACAAGTGAATTTAAATTGCTGTCTCTGGCTGGCTTCTAGCAGCTGAAGAGTTCCACATATTCACTTGATTGCAATTAAAAAGTTAGCTCTTGCACCAGCTGATGATTTAAACTTAGAAAACATTGCTGACTATAGAAAGAAGCTGCATAATATATGTTTGTTCCCCAATGTGGCACTAGTTAGTCTCTGTATTCCACATACTGCTTTTGTTTCCTTCTTACAAAACCCTCTTAGGCCTTCTAGATTACATACTAACATCGGTCAATCATTTCACTAGTATAGCTACTGTGCGGGTTTTTACGACTGAAGAGACGACTTGATATGAAACTTTGCTTTAATCATGAGCCTCTACAGTTCTGTATACCATACGTGACATATAAGAACAACATCTCTTTTAACCCTGAAACATATGTCTCCTCAGGGCACTGAATTATCACAAACTCAGGTCACATCTCCTTATCGAGTCACTCATCATGCAGAGATGTAGTTGAAGCATTATAATGGGGCGATCTGACGTCAAAACTGTCACCTGAGAAGATAGTGAATTTCTATGCTAGTCGGGAAAAGAGGCGCTTTCTGTTGCATTATGTAAGTCACTCAGTGTCTTCTGTTCTCTGGCAGTAATAGAAGGCTAAACATACACTGATGTACCCAAGTCAGGATGTTTGGAAACATTTGGCTTAAATTGGGCAAAGTGTTAAGTGCGTCTGTATTCTTAGTGGTTAGCTTAACAAGCTTGGTGGGCTCAGGACATTTTGTCTGTGCAGCAGGGCAGATCTAGAGGATGACCTTAGGGGCCCTCTTGAAATCTGTTGTGCGACCTGAAAATCGCAAATCACATGTTTGGACCACTTTGCAACAGGCTGCTGTCAATGTGGTACATTTAGAAAAGCCTAAATTCAAAGTAAATATGAGCATTTAAGCTTTGCCTAATCCTGGTTGATGATGGCTAGGTTTGGTGAAGACGAAAACGGCAATCAAGAGTGGAACTGAGCGGATACCTTCTTGAACACTGACAGTATCCAGGTGAGACTTGCAGACACAACTGAATAGTGCACAGAGAAGCTATGTGGCTTTATCCAAACAGGTAACATGCTCACAAAAATATTCTAGTTAGCTTAAAATTCAATCTTTCACTTTTGAACCAACACTGGAAGGATTCAGCGTCTGTTAATGGAGCGCCCACGCTATCTAACTGAACTTCCTGGCTCCCCGCTTGCTTTTTGTTGGGTAAAACAAATAACAAATAAACATGTTTATTTAGTTTCTAGCACTTGAACTTTTCACTTTAAATCACAAGGGCTGCAGTGTGCAGTAAACACCATTAAGCATTCTGCTCTCTGTAATTGTTTTAAACCAGGTCAATTCTGTAACATTCCCATAGTTGTGTGTTGATGAAGTTTGAAGTAAGTGGATAATTCTCTGTGAGTAACATACACTGCTACACATTCTGTACACCATCCATTTTACATTCGATGATGACACAACACTTCAATGTAGAAGCTTTAATGACTTCATAGACTGAACCAGTAGAGTCGCGACGAGTAACATCAGCGGAATGGAAACGAGGGAACATGTCAGTACAATGTTCCCTGCAGCATTGTTCATAATCACGTTTCACTGAATTATAAATGTTTACTATGATTGCAGTGATAAAGACTATATCATAGAAGTGTTTCCCATAAAATGAAGCTGTACCTGGTAGGTGGAGTCGGTGGGGGTGGGGTGGGGGGGTCGTAACAATGTTTTTTTTTTTTTCCATCTTAGGTTATATTTAAATATGAGGGTAGGCAAACGACTTACCGGTAATCTGCTCATTTTACATCCCTTCCATTCTCTTGTCACACACCTGCACCTCCTTTCTCACACACAGTGTCTCTCTCTCTCTCTCTCTCTCTCTCTCTCTCTGCTCTCTATCTCTCTCTCTCTCTCTCTCTCTCTCTCTCTCTCTCTCTCTCTCTCTCTCTCTCTCTTTTAAAGAGAAAATAGAAAAAAGGTCACAAATAGTCTTGGTTGGCAATTAATACATCTGGGAATTGGAAGAGTGTGAGGAAACAAGGGAGAAAAGATAAAGGCCAGGTGGTTAAGACGAGTGAAGATACGGGGGTGAGGAGGAATGTTTAATATGATATAATTTATTTATTCGAGGGGGAAATTGTCTTTCAGCCTCTGAATGGGGACAGCTTCAGTCAGGCCCAATGAGGCAGAAGGATGTTACGTTGGTAGCTCACGGGTATTTCAGCAGGTACAGTTTGATCACACAGGAAGTTCAAGCTTACAGATGGCAGATGAGCTTATTTACCTTGAGGCCACACTCTGCTACACTGTTACCATCTCAACACACTGTGAAGTGATACATGAACTGCAGCTAAACTGGCCATAACCCAGTCGAATATGAATATTTAATAGGGAACGGGACGGGGGGTTGGGGGGGTGTTTGCTCACCTGGAAGACAGTCACTATGGCCCAGAGAAGAGAATCAAAGTTTTTCCTGTCTGGTAGAGTGTCTCCATCCCTCTCTGACCCAAACTTACATCCAAACAGATGCATCCCGAGGATACTGAGGAAGGAGGGACAGGAGAAGACCAAACAGGAAACAGAAGAATAAATGTTTACACGAGACCTAGTCATTAGATACAGAACAAATAAATGGAAATGAACATGCTGCAAAAGGTTGTTTATCTGGTTTTGACTCCACTAAGGATCATACCAACTGCTAGAAAACACTGTGGCAGAATGCATTGCATGTAATTACAAAAGCAATAATAAAAGTATTCAAATGAAACTAGCTTTACAACAGAAATGATAGAACAAAAGCATGAAAAAAACGACAAAAGAATTGCCCATAATGCATTGAGGACGACATGTTGCCAAGAAAGGAAGAGGAAATGGAGCAGTTTTGCCAGATTAAGTTCAGCACCATGGAGAGCGCTGCAAACCCCGGCAAAGTAATCTGATGGATTTTCATGTAAAGCACTAGTTTAAGTAAATAAACGGTAATAGCATTAGAGACAGAAGATACAGTTTCATAAGTCTGTAAAGTTGTAGTTCATCATTATTTACATTTTTTTCTTAGAGTAAGAGGAGGCGATCAAAGACAAGTCTTTAAGTATAAAGCTCACATGAGGGATGGATAACTGTGCTGTGTAAGAAAACTGGAAACAGGAGGGAGTATTAAGCTTCTCTCCATCAAAATGTAACAGAATCTGCAGAGGAAAACATATGTAGTGCACAAGCTTACTTCCCACGACTAATTTGTTTAATCTGTACACGAGCAGTACAGTGACAAGAACAATTTGCATTTTCAGGGGGGGGGGGGCAATGGGTTGTTTCTAAACAGTTTATCCAACCTCCTGGATCATTAGTGCAGCATCACAGTCGGTTGCGTACAAAACCTCGCAGCAAAAACAACATTCTGGGAGGTCAGAAGTTCTTTAGGAAAAGTTAGAGGTTTCATCTTTTCTCCACTTTCCTGTTAAATGACGGATAACTTTTGAACTTAGGTCAGACCCAGGCTAGCAGGCCTGCCTCAAGTCTTTATGCTAAGCTTCTTTAGTTGCCTCCAAGCTCTTTTCCATAATCACTACAAAGACATTCTGCTTAACAAACCCTGGGAAAGAATGCAAATAACATTTTTTTTTTTTTTTTTAAAGAAAAAATGTAGCAGTGCGTCTGCATCCAATCTTGTTTCTATTCAGGAACGCAGACACCGAAGCTCAACTGGAGCTGAGGGATCAATGAGCAGCACTGAGCTGTGTCAACTTGGCAGCCCTTCACTCAAACCAAGGGCTGTTTATCTATGAATATATGAAGCCCTTGGAAAACTCTGTGTGTGTCTTTATGTAGATATGTGATGTCACATGCCACTGCAGAAATCAGGATTTTGTGACCTCTAATGACACTAGTCAGTTCTTCTGTCACTTTTTTTTTTTAATCAAATCTGATCGGACAAATCAACAGTCCTGATGACAGTTTTGTTAACAAACCATTGGAGTCTCATCAGAGACCAAAAAAAAAAAGAAAACAAATGATATATAATCAGGTGTGTGTGCATGTGCCAAGAAACTCCAAGCATGTGTTTTGTTGAACTTAGCATCAGGCCTATCCAAACAGAGACAACAGTAGAACATAATAAGATGTATCGTTTAATCTTTTCATCCCATTAAATCATTTCTGTCTTTTCTCAAGTCTTTTCTGTACTCATGTTGAATGTATTTAGTATTGATCCATCAGTTATCTTTTTTACATCTTGGTGCTCTCATCTCAATCTGCAGATTTTTTTGAATGGGTCTCTGATTATTCATTTTTTTTAATTTTTGTACGCCATTCTCACAAACTTTGCAGCTCACACATTCAGCCTACATGCGCTGGAGGATACTGTCTCCTATGGGGCACTGAGGTTTATCACCAATCTTAAAGCCCTTACTTACCACTGCTTGGATTTCCCCGTAGACTAAACCACTGGCAGATTTTTATTTATAAGGGTATTCTCTGTCTGCTTTCGTCTCACTTACGGAGCTACATACTTCAAGAAAGTACTGGAAGTTACAACCTTCTCTCTCAGGATTTATACCTTTAACTATCCCTCAAGCCCGTACTGAGTTGGGAAAAAGGGCGCTGTATGCTGCTCCCTCTCCTTGGAATCGGTTGCAAAATACTCTAAATCTTCAGGAGCTGGTTTCATTGGATGTTTTTGATCTGGAGACAGGCATTACAGTCTGTAGATGACTCTTATTGCCCCTTTTTGATCGCCTTGTTGTTGATAATTTAAGACAAATCTTGATGAATGCTTCTTTTATTTTGGGATTGCTTTATTTATGTTAATGGTTGTTAAATGTTTGATGTCTGAAACCCAGTCATTTGTGCTGGTGTCTGTCTTGGCCAGGGCGTAAAATTGATTCTTAATCTCATGACACCTTTCCTTGTTAAATTTTTTTTAAATAAAAATGATTTCCTTGAGTTTGTGGCACCGGTGAAATGTTTCTATTGTACTTTGCATTGAAAGACAGAGTGCACGCCGCTCACTCTCCCGCTGCCTACCTGAAGATGAAAATAAAGAGCATGAGCAGCATGCAGAAGGTGGCCACGTTGTCCATGGTCTTCATCAGCACCACCAGCTGCCTCTGCAGGGCGGGCATGAAACGGACCAGCTTCAGCACCCGCATCAGCCGGAAGGTCCTCAGCACTGAAAGACCACCACCCTGCTGACCCACAATCTCCCAAACACTGTAAACAAAAGGAAAACAACAATGTGTTTTTTTTAAACACACACAGAGCACTCACACGAATTAGAAAGGAGGACATTCTATTGTCTATTAGATGATCTTCTTCTGTGCTCACCTGATGACCACGATGATACCGTCAAAGATGTTGTAGGGATTCTTGATGTAGCCAAAGGGTCCGTAGACTAGAACCTTCAGTAGCATCTCCAGAGCGAACAGGCTGGTGAACACAATGTTACTGATCTCCAAGGCATTGGTCAACTCGTCAGGCTGAGAAAAAAAAGAGAGAGACAAAGAGAGGGGAGTGATTAGTGGACTACTGTGGTTTGCTACACTCTTGCATGATACTCCAAATGGAACAAGAGCTAAAACATTTGTTTTGTTTTCCAGCACTTTGAACGTCTTCCAACAGGGCTGGATGAGCATCATGCATCGTCTATATTAAACCTGCAAACCAGCAGACTGGGTAAGCAAGACATTTATGACTACAGCAAAAACACCTGCTGCTCAACATGTGCACATGGAAATTTGCCAATGATTGAATTCAATTGAAATATGACCACCCTATCTTTTCACACTCGTACAATGCACACACTCGACCTTTATCTTGCACCACACACACACACACACACACACACACACACACTGATTACAATGCCGCTGCTGAATATGCCCAGGACGTCTGCTCAAAGCTCATCAGAGAATTGGACTGCCACTCACATCTCAGATCAAACAACGTGAGTGTGTGTGTGTGTGTGTGTGAGTATTTGAGCGTGGGTGTGTGCCAGAAAAAAATGGCTTTGCAGACAGACAAGAGAAAAAACTAAAGCCGAAAATAAAAAGCGCAGAACATCCAAATCTGACACGATAAGAACATCAGACAGCCATAACAAGTGTCCATAATTATGGTACAGAAGAAGGGTCAGTGAGGATGCTGTCATGTGTCTGCAGCCTGTGTAGCACTCCAAGCTTCACAAGGCCTTTCATCTCCGAGCAATAAACAGTTTACACAACTCAAACATGGTGTCATACACACTCACATTACACGGACATAACACAGAGGATGGAAGGTGTTCAGGGCCTGATCTGTGTTTGCATGTTCCCCATTATAAAAGTGTGAGTGAATCTGTGCATACATATGTGTACGACTGCCTGGCTGACAGTCTCAATATCCCTTTTTAAGTGTGTGCATAAGTAGAGCTGTCGCCCTGACAGAAGCATTATTCCAGGGCTGCACCAGGAGGTAATGTAATGTAATGTAAATACAGTGTGTGCCATTTAGTCTGCTCTGGCAGGCTGCCACTCATCACTTTACACCCTGACTGTTTAAGCAGTGACTACTAAAAAAAAGAGAGAAACATAGAAAGACATTTCATGTTAAAAAAAAACAGATCCTCATGCTGTATTATGGCACCAGTTTGTCTGGAGCACTTACTGAGCATACTGACTGAGTAGTTATTTATCAAAAAGTGTTACACTGCTTTAAGGTCATGTTTGAAAGAAATGGTTGCTCCAGTTTCTTTTCTTTGAAGCCGTGAACATTTCAAATGAAATTCATTCTTGGCTTTCATTCCGTGAAGTAAATATTGTGTGCAGACAGAGTTTAGGAGTAGACCTTAATTCTATTTCAAAAAGGGAACATATCAGCAATAAGGACGTATTATAAATGATTTAAATACAATCTGAATATCAGCTGAAAATAATGTTTCATTATGTGAAACATAATGACACATGACGCATGTCATTCCCCACTCTCTCTCTCCTCGATTTCCAGCTCTATCCACGGTCCTTTCTCTACAATAAAGGCAAAAAAGCCCAAAAATAAAAATCTTTAAATAAAAAAAGAAAATAATGTCTCACATTAAGGGATTTGCTCACTTGTTCTCAAGCACAGAGTAAGATTAAATGTTCTATACCAGTGGTTCCCGAAGTGAGGGTCGGGACCCCCTGGGGGGGTCGCAAGACACTGAGAATGGGGTCGAAAGAATTCTTCCAAAAACATATAAAAGTGAAAAATGACTTAAAATTGCATAATTTGAACCACTATTGTAAAAAACATATACAAGGAAACTATAGCTCAAGAGATGACTTATGTTTTACTTCAATCATTTCTTACAACAAATTACTAAAATAATGATACAATGTTACAAATGTGTTACAAAGCAGGTTTGTTATTGTCTGTTGTTATAATGTTAGTGTTTGGATAGGCCTATAAGTGTGCCCGGCTGTGCACACCAGGTAATGTTTTAACCACCTCCATGGACAGTGTGGGTCTCTAGCACCTTATTTCTGGGGTCATGGGCCGAAAGGTTTGGAAAACTCTGCTCTAAACAACTCTAGTATCCGTCCATTAAACATTGTATTAACCCTAACACCTTTACCTCCCCTCACAACAAAAACACAACAAACAAAAGTCTGTAGCAGGCTTCTCTTGGGTGGTTAGCTGGTCACATTGTATCCGTCAAGAAAAACAGATAATTTAGATTTTAGGCTACTGACCACATATTTGTTCTAGTTTCAGTTCACTTTTTTTTAAACCAAAAGTGAATGTCTATTTCTCAAAACTTTTTCTTGTAACTTCTTGCCTTGTATCAGAAGTACAGAAGTGTGACTAAGTGATGTTTAATGTGGCCAAAGTTGCAACAGACTGAATCCATACCTCTCGGCTGCATTTTAGGTATCCATTTGATGTTAGTTAGAAAAGAAGGCATTTTCATAACCACAGCATGGCAGCACATTTCACATTCAGGCAGAAATGTTAAAGTGTATGGTTGAAACTTGAAAGGGGTCGTTCACTATGTGCTCTGAGGAAGCAGTCAAAAGCAACCACTGTCTGCAGATAGCTTCAATAAGAGCATCTTGACAGCATTCCTGAGTCAAACCTTACAAGTCATTTCTCAGTATTAAGTCATTACTCCCATAAGACCAGGATGCAACAGTGAGCCCTGAGGCAGAAAAGATGTCCAGCAGCACTAAAGCCTTATGTTGCAGCATAATGGAAAGCCTGAAACTTCCAACTTGAATTTCACTGACTTGTGAGAACTTACTATCTATGTTAACATTGTTTCTTTTACATTATGGTGACAGGAAGGAGGCTTTACCTTTGACCTTCTGCTCATTTACTCTGTGCATTATATATGTAATACAGGCTTTGTCATGCTCCTGGATGAAAACAAAAACATGTGATTGGGTTGGCCTGTTCATAGATTAATAGAAATCTATGCACAATGTCCATGTAATAATACATGGACATTGTGCCGGGAATAAATCTATAATAAATATTACATACATACATATTATGGCGTCAAATTAAATGTTATCAAATATAAATATATATATACATTTCACCAAAATAATATAACCACAGGTTGGAAGTTGGTCCTGATATATATAATTGAAATGACATTTTCATTTCAATTTTATTGTTATTGACATTTTATTGTTAATGTAATTTTTACACTAAAGTTTGTTTACAAACTGAATTCCAAAATGTGACCAACCCTCGTGGACTTCCTATTTCTGATCCATTAGGTACCAAGCACCAGACCAGTATTGTCTCAGTTTCAAGTATTTCAGGATAGAGTATCGTGATACTAAACTCTGTATAAGTGGCTAAAACAAGATCATCTTTCAAAATGTTATAGCTCTACGGAGGCAGCGGGTCCTGAAGATGTCCTCCAGAGAGGGCAGGGTAAAGTATGGGCCACTTTCGTCCATTCAGACAGATGTTCCCTAATTGAAAGCCAAAGCTCAGTTTAATTAAACCTCCTTTTCACTGGAAACCTGCTCTACCTCTGTGTGACAGCCATGCACAAAAGATGCTAAATAAATAAACATGAATCCATAAAAAGGACATTTCTAAAGTGCTGATTGACAAAATGTGTAGACATTGATTGGAAAAAAAAACATTATTTGCTCTCTTGTGGTTATAGCTTGTCATTTAAATGGTTTTGATTTGCTAAGATACATTTTTGGTAATGAAATGACTCGAACCAATCAGGGGAGAGTGTTATAATCACCTCTTGTTTAACAGGTTTTGGTAAGAGTTTAAGAGTTTTTTCATAGGATTAGAAAAGGCTGAAAAATATTTAAGACAACAGTGCAGAAGTGTTGAAGCTGGCTTATTTCTTCATTCAAAATACAATCAAAGTACTGTATTTATTTGTAGTAACTACTAATTATTGGGAAATATTTAACCCTTTCTTTTAAAAATCATCAAGTAACTTCTGGTCTATACCAAACGACTGCATTTTCTTCCTGCCTTCTTTCTTGAAAACATAACTTTACTACGCCTGAATCATCATATCCGCCAATATGCTTCGTTCTTTTGTCCAGTAAATCGGAGATGTGTTAGAATTGTTCTCCTATGTTGGGCAGATTTCTACATTTCAACAGAAAGATGGCGACAACAAACACTTTTGAGAACATGAGTGCAATGACTTGAATTGGATCAGTGGCAGATAATTAGCTTAATTAAGTGCATTTCACTAAATTACATAGTCCACATGTTCATGCTAGCACCATCATGCAATACATGTGCAATGCAAAAGGGACCGTGAAGAAAATATAATCAAAGAAAAGAGGACTATCTTTTTTTCCACTGTTCCTTTGATAAAAAAAAAAGAATAATTTGCCCACGGCCTGCAGTGCAGCCCCTGCCAGGGAAACCCGCTTCCTGCAAAAAAAACAAGCAGTTCTCTGTTTCATCTCACCTCTTTGTCATTGTCTGTGTCTCTTGTGTCTGTTTCTGGGTTCACAGACACAGACAAATCTATTCGTTTGATCCCAGTGCTTTATTGTGTCCATTCATTTGTTCACTGACGAGCGAGGCGGCGGCAAATCCTTTAAACAAGCACATAAGCTTTGTGCGATTAAGAGAAGTTCAAAGGGTAAACGAATGCTGCTGCACTTAGATGTTTATGTGTTCTTTTAGATGAATGCCCTTACACACTGCTATACAGAAACACACACACTCGTGAACAGATGTGTGTAATACCAAAAAATACAGAGGGATCAACCAAGAGATAAAATACAAACCAAGTCGGCCACACACATCAACTCACACTCAGCATTCATTACCATGCACATATGCTGCATGCACGAAGCTCTTCATAGAAACACACTTTTAACCATACCCATAGACAAACACATGCACACATAGCTTTATAATAGATGTGATTGATAAGCCAGAACAAAAAGTACACTTTTTATGAGGTGAGACTTGGACTGTAGACATCTGGCCTTGAGAATGAGGTTCAGGTCATTATTTT